CATTTTATCATTTTAGCTGAAGAAAAGAAAGTGTATTTTTGGAGAAAAGAATATTTCTCAAACACACTCAAAATTGCAAAAAACGTTAGCCTATAGCCTTGGAAAATTGGTCGTTTTTTCAGGTGAAATTTTTTGGCTAATTCCATCCTTGAACTCTTATATATGATCAGACTCGTCATTTTATCATTCTAGCTGAAGAAAAGAAAGTGTATTTTTGGAGAAAAGAATATTTCTCAAACACACTCAAAATAGCAAAAAACGTTAGCCTATAGCCTTGGAAAATTGGTCGTTTTTTCAGGTGAAATTTTTTGGCTAATTCCATCCTTGAACTCTTATATATGATCAGACTCGTCATTTTATCATTTTAGCTGAAGAAAAGAAAGTGTATTTTTGGAGAAAAGAATATTTCTCAAACACACTCAAAATTGCAAAAAACGTAAGCCTATAGCCTTGGAAAATTGGTCAATTTTTCAGGTGAGATTTTTTTGGCTAATTCCATCCCTAAACTCTTATATATGATCATAATCGTCATTTTATCATTTTAGCTGAAGAAAAGAAAGTGTATTTTTGGAGAAAAGAATATTTCTCAAACGCACTCCAAATTGCGAAAAACGTAAGCCTATAGCCTTGGAAAATTGGTCGTCTTTTCAGGTGAAATATTTTGGTTATTTCCATCCTTAAACTCTTATATATGATCATAATCGTCATTTTATCATTTTAGCTGAAGAAAAGAAAGTGTATTTTTGGAGAAAAGAATATTTCTCAAACGCACTCCAAATTGCAAAAAACGTAAGCCTATAGCCTTGGAAATTGGTCAATTTTTCAGGTGAGATTTTTTTGAATAATTCCATCCCTAAACTCTTATATATGATCATAATCGTCATTTTATCATTTTAGCTGAAGAAAAGAAAGTGTATTTTTGGAGAAAAGAATATTTCTCAAACGCACTCCAAATTGCGAAAAACGTAAGCCTATAGCCTTGGAAATTGGTCAATTTTTCAGGTGAGATTTTTTTGAATAATTCCATCCCTAAACTCTTATATATGATCATAATCGTCATTTTATCATTTTAGCTGAAGAAAAGAAAGTGTATTTTTGGAGAAAAAAGTATTTTTTAGGCGCACTCCAAATTGCGAAAAAAGTAAGCCTATAGCCTTGGAAAATTGGTCGATTTTTCAGGTGAAATTTTTTTGGCTAATTCCAATCTTAAACTCTTAAATATGATCATAATCGTCATTTTATCATTTTAGCTGAAGAAAAGAAAGTGTATTTTTGGAGAAAAGAATATTTCTCAAACGTACTCCAAATTGCGAAAAACTTAAGCCTATAGCCTTGGAAAATTGGTCGATTTTTCAGGTGAAATTTTTTGGCTAATTCCTTCCCTAAACTCTTATATATGATCATAATTGTCACTTTATCATTTTAGCTGAAGAAAAGAAAATGTATTTTTGGAGAAAAGAATATTTCTCAAACGCACTCAAAATTGCGAAAAACGTTAGCCTATAGCCTTGGAAAATTGGTCGATTTTTCAGGTGAAATGTTTTGGCTAATTCCTTCCCTAAACTCTTATATATGATCATAATTGTCACTTTATCATTTTAGCTGAAGAAAAGAAAATGTATTTTTGGAGAAAGGAATATTTCTCAAACGCACTCGAAATTGCGAAAAACGTAAGCCTATAGCCTTGGAAAATTGGTCGATTTTTCAGGTGAAATTTTTGGCTAATTCCTTCCCTAAACTCTTATATATGATCATAATCGTCATTTTATCATTTTAGCTGAAGAAAAGAAAGTGTATTTTTGGAGAAAAGAATATTTCTCAAACGCACTCAAAATTGCGAAAAACGTAAGCCTATAGCCTTGGAAAATTGGTCGTTTTTTCAGGTGAAATTTTTTGGCTAATTCCTTCCCTAAACTCTTATATATGATCATAATTGTCACTTTATCATTTTAGCTGACGAAAAGAAAATGTATTTTTGGAGAAAAGAATATTTCTCAAACGCACTCGAAATTGCGAAAAACGTAAGCCTATAGCCTTGGAAAATTGGTCGATTTTTCAGGTGAATTTTTGGCTAATTCCTTCCCTAAACTCTTATATATGATCATAATTGTCACTTTATCATTTTAGCTGACGAAAAGAAAATGTATTTTTGGAGAAAAGAATATTTCTCAAACGCACTCGAAATTGCGAAAAACGTAAGCCTATAGCCTTGGAAAATTGGTCGATTTTTCAGGTGAATTTTTGGCTAATTCCTTCCCTAAACTCTTATATATGATCATAATTGTCACTTTATCATTTTAGCTGACGAAAAGAAAATGTATTTTTGGAGAAAAGAATATTTCTCAAACGCACTCGAAATTGCGAAAAACGTAAGCCTATAGCCTTGGAAAATTGGTCGATTTTTCAGGTGAAATTTTTGGCTAATTCCTTCCCTAAACTCTTATATATGATCATAATCGTCATTTTATCATTTTAGCTGAAGAAAAGAAAGTGTATTTTTGGAGAAAAGAATATTTCTCAAACGCACTCAAAATTGCGAAAAACGTAAGCCTATAGCCTTGGAAAATTGGTCGTTTTTTCAGGTGAAATTTTTTTGGCTAATTCCATCCCTAAACTCTTATATATGATCATAATCGTCATTTTACCATTTTAGCTGAAGAAAAGAAAGTGTATTTTTGGAGAAAAGAATATTTCTCAAACGCACTCATAATTGCGAAAAACGTAAGCCTATAGCCTTGGAAAATTGGTCGTTTTTTCAGGTGAAATTTTTTTGGCTAATTCCAATCTTAAACTCTTAAATATGATTATAATCGTCTTTTTATCATTTTAGCTGAAGAAAAGAAAGTGTATTTTTGGAGAAAAGAATATTTCTCAAACGCACTCATAATTGCGAAAAACGTAAGCCTATAGCCTTGGAAAATTGGTCGTTTTTTCAGGTGAAATTTTTTGGCTTATTCCAGCCTTAAACTCTGATATATGATCAGAATCGTCATTTTATCATTTTAGCTGAGGAAAAGAAAGTGCATATTTGGAGAGAAGAGTCTTTTTTAGGCGCACTCCAAATTGCGAAAAACGTAAGCCTATAGCCTTAGAAAATTGGTCGATTTTTCAGGTGAAATTTTTTGGCTAATTCCATCCCTAAACTCTTATATATTATCAGAATCGTCATTTTATCATTTTAGCTGAGGAAAAGAAAGTGCATATTTGGAGAGAAGAGTCTTTTTTAGGCGCACTCCAAATTGCGAAAAACGTAAGCCTATAGCCTTAGAAAATTGGTCGATTTTTCAGGTGAAATTTTTTTGGCTAATTCCAATCTTAAACTCTTAAATATGATCATAATCGTCATTTTATCATTTTAGCTGAGGAAAAGAAAGTGCATATTTGGAGAGAAGAGTCTTTTTTAGGCGCACTCCAAATTGCGAGAAACTTAAGCCTATAGCCTTGGAAAATTGGTCGATTTTTCAGGTGAAATTTTTTTGGCTAATTCCAATCTTAAATTCTTAAATATGATCATAATCGTCATTTTATCATTTTAGCTGAAGAAAAGAAAATGTATTTTTGGAGAAAAGAATATTTCTCAAACGCACTCAAAATTGCGAAAAACGTAAGCTTATAGCCTTGGAAAATTGGTCGATTTTCAGGTGAAATTTTTTGGCTAATTCCAATCTTAAACTCTTAAATATGATCATAATCGTCATTTTATCATTTTAGCTGAAGAAAAGAAAGTGTATTTTTGGAGAAAAGAATATTTCTCAAACGTACTCAAAATTGCAAAAAACGTAAGCCTATAGCCTTGGAAAATTGGTCGTTTTTTCAGGTGAAATTTTTTGGCTTATTCCAGCCTTAAACTCTGATATATGATCAGAATCGTCATTTTATCATTTTAGCTGAGGAAAAGAAAGTGCATATTTGGAGAGAAGAGTCTTTTTTAGGCGCACTCCAAATTGCGAAAAACGTAAGCCTATAGCCTTGGAAAATTGGTCGATTTTTCAGGTGAAATTTTTTGGCTAATTCCATCCCTAAACTCTTATATATTATCAGAATCGTCATTTTATCATTTTAGCTGAGGAAAAGAAAGTGCATATTTGGAGAGAAGAGTCTTTTTTAGGCGCACTCCAAATTGCGAAAAACGTAAGCCTATAGCCTTAGAAAATTGGTCGATTTTTCAGGTGAAATTTTTTTGGCTAATTCCAATCTTAAACTCTTAAATATGATCATAATCGTCATTTTATCATTTTAGCTGAGGAAAAGAAAGTGCATATCTGGAGAGAAGAGTCTTTTTTAGGCGCACTCCAAATTGCGAGAAACTTAAGCCTATAGCCTTGGAAAATTGGTCGATTTTTCAGGTGAAATTTTTTTGGCTAATTCCAATCTTAAATTCTTAAATATGATCATAATCGTCATTTTATCATTTTAGCTGAAGAAAAGAAAGTGCATATTTGGAGAGAAGAGTCTTTTTTAGGCGCACTCCAAATTGCGAGAAACTTAAGCCTATAGCCTTGGAAAATTGGTCGATTTTTCAGGTGAAATTTTTTTGGCTAATTCCAATCTTAAATTCTTAAATATGATCATAATCGTCATTTTATCATTTTAGCTGAAGAAAAGAAAGTGCATATTTGGAGAGAAGAGTCTTTTTTAGGCGCACTCCAAATTGCGAGAAACTTAAGCCTATAGCCTTGGAAAATTGGTCGTTTTTTCAGGTGAAATTTTTTGGCTAATTCCTTCCCTAAACTCTTATATATGATCATAATTGTCATTTTATCATTTTAGCTGAAGAAAAGAAAGTGCATATTTGGAGAGAAGAGTCTTTTTTAGGCGCACTCCAAATTGCGAGAAACTTAAGCCTATAGCCTTGGAAAATTGGTCGATTTTTCAGGTGAAATTTTTTTGGCTAATTCCAATCTTAAACTGTTATGTATGATCAGAATTGTCATTTTATCATTTTAGCTGAGGAAAAGAAAGTGCATATTTGGAGAGAAGAGTGTTTTCCAGACGCACTGAAATTTGCTAAAAACGTAAGCCTATAGCCTTGGAAAATTGGATCAATGTCCAGGTAAAAAGTATGATGGATCAATCGTTTTTCTAATCTAATAGGTCTGTCGTACTTAAGGGTAGCCCTAGAAATCTTTTGCCTTTTGAAAATACAGTATGTAGAATAGAGAAGCTCTCTCTATCTTTCGTAGTAGAGAGAGATGTATTTGATTGAAAAGTTTCAAACAATCAAACCAAACAAAGTCATCCATGCAATCTGCTTATACATTAATAACCTTTCCATAGATTTATTTACATTAAATATAACTGTTATGGTATAAATACACAAAGAAAACATTATCTGTACATCTGGAAAGCATCAGGTCTAAACCCAGGAGCTTTACGTCTTCATCTAGAAAACGTCACGTCTACACCCAAAAAATGTTATGTAAATCTACATGCAAAACACGTCACATCTATACCAAAAATGTATATATCCAGAAGCCGGTATGTCTTTATCAAGAAAATACATTCAGCAAACGTCACGTGTATAACCATAGACGTTACTTTACACCAAGAGAACTTCACGTATACATCCAGAAAACGTCACATCTTCAACCAGAAAACGTCATGTGCATAACTAGAAACGTTATGTCTACACCATGAAAATTTTGTGAAAACACCCAGAAAACTTCACATTTAAATTCAGCAACGTCAGATCTATGCTCAGAAACTTAATGTCTAAGCACAGAGAAACATCTATCAAGAATCGTCATGTCTACATCCAGAAATGTCATGTGTACCTCAAGAAAACATCGCATCTACATTGAAAAAAGGTAGGTTGCATCAATTAAGATTACATCATGTCTACATTAAGTAAACGTCGAGTCCACATCCAGAAAACTCCCTGTAGAAACCCAGAAAGTGTCATGTTTACAACTGAAACTTGAAGATGTCTTTTTTCAAAACAGTTCACATCCCAAACATTTCATGCACTAAGAGACGTCACCTCAATACCCAGAAACTCCATGAAGACATCTATGCATGTCGGCCTACATGTATGCCTACAGTGCATGTATGCATATCGGCCTACAAAAATCAAGATACCTCATTTTTATTGTTAGCAATTCATTAAATTGGGTCTGTATTTGATGACCTGGTCGACGAGCTACTAGAACTAAGCGGCCTATCACTATAAACACTTGACGTATGGTCCTCAAAGTAGCGTAACAGTTTTTCGTGGGCGATCTTTTCTTCGTCTGTAAGATACTTATAAGAGTCTGGAAGAAATTCCTGTCTTTCGAGAATAACTCTTTTTTGTACAGAGATAGGGGATATATCAATATATGGAACCCACTTTGAGAAGTCCATTTCAGATTCCATTGTTTTGGCCTGGTCGTGAATGTAATCTCCAAATGCGTCGTATTGCATCAACGGATTTTCCTCGGACTGCCCGAAATCCATGCCCTGGCTTGGACATCTCATCTTTCCTTCAAATGAAGAGGATCTCGCAACAAGTAGTTTTTTTTCTACTTTTTCCTGAAAACAAAAAACAAAGAATATGCTTTTATTTTTTCCTGAAAACCAAAAACTGTATAATGAAATGAAATGTGCCATGTCCTAAAAAAAAGTTGCGGATACAAGAATCACCCACCGAGATAAGGCTGATACAGAGGCAAAGTTTCGTTTGCCTTAGTGCTTAATGAAAATGGAAGTTCACCTTCAGCTCCCCAAACATAAGCTAGAAAATAGTTTCTCGTCAGGAAACATGCAGTAGTTTCTTATAAGGCCACAGATTACTATTTCTTTAAATGGCAGAACCAGATTCATGTTGCAATGGTGGTAGTTATAACGCACCAAAAATCTCCATAACATATCCAAAATCCTTTGAAAACCAGTAATTCTCAACCTACCGAGCTGACAACAGAAAAGATAACATAGAATAATTAAATGCGGGGTTATTGGAACTTTTTATGGCGAAGAATGTGCTACATTTAAATAAGCTGCGTCTTCTTGACTTATGACGTGTGCCCAGAATCTGGCTCGACAAACCGCCAGCTGTCTAACAACGTTTCATGGAATTTGATGAAATAGTGTATTGTTTCTTGAAAAGCTTGTTTTGATTTTCGGCTGTAGAGTTTTACAGGAATAAGAATCATCTGAGAATTAAGAGTATTTTCCAGATCTTTTCGGCTTCTTCTGTATAGAGAGAGCGAGAAGGGTAATTCGGACACGCACCGAACAAACCACTATGACTAAATGAGACCCCACAAAAACATTTTGAGTACCCCAAAACTAGGCACCCTTCCAAGTTTCATCCAATTCAAAATGGATCCAGGAAAGTTATTTTGGAACATTTATATTCGAGGCAGCTCTCGCACTGTAAATGGGGGCATGGAAGATTTAGGACTCCTACCAAGTATCTTTTCATTCAGAAGGAAACCCCTTTAGCAAAACATCTTTAGGTACATAAAAATTCGAGAGTGCCTTCACACTATCAGGACTGAGCCAAATTTGTCCAAAGCATTTTGCCCAAAGCAGTGAAAATTCAACGACAATCGCAAATGAATAATAGGCGCACTAATTTTAGGAATCCTACCAAGTTGTTTTGGAAAGTTTGATTTTCATTGTTTGTTGACTTTATTAAAATTGAGAAAAATGAGCGAAAGCTAGTTATTATTCGAACTAGTTGATTTCCTTCAGAATTAATATTGCAGCCCTCTCCAAAGTCACTTGTGCTCTTTCATCTCCAATGACCAGCAACGAGTCTTTTAAGGCCGCGCCAAAAAATTTGCACAGCACAACACGTGTTTTTGAAAATGTTACGTAAATCGACGGAGAACCAAAAAGGCTGTTTATTACTAAATAAATGTTTTTCTATAAAAACAACTTTTTTAGAAATTTTCAATGTCCCAATACCAAAGCTAATTCCCTTCTGAACACTTCGCATTGTAAAAACCCACTCATTTGTTCCTCAGTTGAAATTTATCGACAAAAATTTCACAAGCGGAATAAGATAAAGACGCCAACTAGGCATAGGTCATTGGCCAAAAACCGCCTGTGCAGCAACATCAATAAAACGCATGTAAATTTCCGCGCGTTTCAATAGCTACAGCGAATGACGCTTGCATAGATAAGAATAAAGCAAGTTGACATTTTGGCAGCAAGAGTATTTCATTTCACAAACCTTATTGGCTTTCAGTATCTCATAAACAAACTTCAAAGATTCACGACCTAAAATAGAAAGGAAAAGAAAATGCAAGATTATTGGTACTTGATAAATTTTGAAGGTTTAAAGGCACTGTCCTTCAGAAAAGGCAGCTTAGTCCAAAATAGGCCTTGTTGCTTTCCAGTAATTCGGTAAGGTATGTTTCAAATCAAGAACAGTAGAAATTGTTGACAGTGTCATGACCCCATTTGCAGTTTTTAGCAAGGTATTTCTGGCTTTCGCAGCAAGGAAGAATTTCGTTCTTACTGGCTTTGGTTATTACACTTAGGTAAAACGGCACACTACTTTTCCAGGAAATCTTGCAATCGTACTTTAAAATTTCCTATTTCGGCAGGAAATCGTACTTTAAAAAATGGATCTACTTTGGATAAGAAGTCCTTTAGCATACCAAATTTTCTATGCTATCTTGATAACTGAATCCAAAAATAGGCCAAAATAAAAGATAAAAGTTATAATAAAAGATAATAGAGCATTAAAGAATGCCACTATTAAAGTAAAAAGGTAAAGCCAAAACATAGCATATCTAAGTGCTTTTCGCCCAACACTACACAAAGTATAAACTCCGGGTAATGACAAAAGATAAGCAGGATATTTATATCAAAATTGGGATAGAAAACAACGTAAGAATAACAATATCAAAATGATCGGGCAAGCATGGTCCTTTTCTCATTTAGGTGTCTTGGAATCGGCCTACATGAAAACATCCTGACCTATTGTACTCTTCAAGAGTTTAGCGTTCACTTCCAAAAAACAAGGAACCCAACTTTTAGTTACTATCCAACGTTTTTACTCTCAGAAGTGTTGGGAAAAACGTACTTTAGTATTCTGGATTTCCATCAAAATGTAAAATTTTAAAATCATCAAAAAACTAGCCAAAACTTCCCAGAACCAACCAATTCCAGCCAAACCATTCAAAACCATCGAAAAACAACAAAAAGCAACAAAAACCAGTGATTGCAAACCTTCCTTGGCAGACATTAAGGTTGAAGTTAATGTGATATACTGGCTCTCGGCTACAACGTCTGACATCTGATCAATTGTACCAGTACACGAGTTAGCCACACTATCAAAATAAAAAATTAAGCGTTATAGAGAAATTTTGCATCCTGAAAGTCAATAAGTTTCAATCTAGGTTACAAGACGAAGAAAGTTGAGAAAGTGAACTCGTTGGCATGGAGGCTTCAGGCAGATCAGACGTTTTGTATTCAAACACAAGAAATAAGATGCTACACAAAGTTCTACTATTTCGTATATTTTGTCTTTTGTTTTCTAGATTTATTGGTAGTTCTTTAACTGAAACTTACATTAAGTACAAAAATTTTCGGCGTGACAGACTTGTGGACAAAATTCTTGTCTAAAAATTAATTTGTACGAAATTTTTACGGTTATCCAAAAATTTGTCACGCCGAAAATTTTTGCATGAACCTTTATGCGCAATGTTTATTGACTGAAGCAAAGTCGATGTTCCAAGCTAATATATTCCAAGCTTCCGAGCATCAGTTCAAAATTCGTCCAAAATTTCAAAAATATATCCGAAATTTAAAAAATATGTCCAAAATTTAAAAAATACGTCCGAAATTTCAAAAAATATTTCCGAAATTATTTTCGCCTAAGTTTATTACCGGAAATTTATCTGATGAAAATTTTTGTTTTTAATGTAGCTACACCCTCCTTTCTTCGCATTAAACCAAACTTAGTGTCCAACTGAGCCATATTTAACCTTATATTAGTACTTGATTCGCTTTCACTACTCAGGTATCGACAACTGCAGTCGAGGTTTTTTATAACAACATGTATTCATATTCATTACGTTGCTCTCATATTCTGTAAGCAATGGGAAAGTTGCAGCTTGTATTCCTGATCGAAAAGACAATTTGGCCTACCTTGCTTTGAAGTAGTTTGTGAGCATCTTCAGTTTTTCTTGCAGCCAAGCTTTATTACCTTTTATATAAGATAAAATTTCGCTTGGAATTGATGGGTTTTGTGAGACATCTGAAAAAGAAGATCGTTCTTTAACTGATTTTTAATAAAAAAGATATTTTTAACAGTGCTAAATATGGATGAAAACAATTAATGATAGAAATGAAGTTTTATGATTAGGCATATAAAAATAATGTAATCGGTGAAGAAATATTCACGGGTTTACAGCACAGTAGCCTGGAAATCTGAACAATTTAAGGTAAACTTCAATTTAAACGCACCTGTTGTCAAATTGAATAGAAGATGCCAGACCAGCTCGGCAAAATATTCAACCTGACTCATGGTCGAGGAAGAGATTTGAAAATCGAAGAGCTGTGAAATGTTTTCCTTAATCGTCAGCCATTTGTAGGAAATGAAAGCAAGGATCTGGAGATGCAAAAAAAGATTAGAGTTAAATTAAATATTAGCAAAGATACTTGTGGGTAAACATGAGTATGCTAAAAACCCTGAGAGTCTAAAGCACATGAGAAAGATGACTTATAACGCTGGCTTTTGTATAAGACAGTTGGTTGACGTTTTGATAATTTTAGACTCTTTCAAAGTGACTGTGTCTTTCAAAGTCACTGAGAATAACAAAAAGGAGAGCCAACTGCCACGGCTTTTTAAGTATTATGCTCATCCACGTGGAACAGCAACACACTAGAAAGTAACATTCATCCACAGAATTAAAAGCGAAGTCAAAGGAACAGTAATATCAAGCGACCTTTAAGGCCATTAATCTTTCGAAAACCCTGGAAAAGCCAAACTCATTTTATGATGGGATATTTACTACGAAACCTGACATATTTCAGGTCGCACTTAAAAACTTTAACTGAGAACCTCCTTCAGTTGGCACCTCCTTCACCACGTATCTTAGAGTCTTACAATAACAACTTACGGGATCACACAGACTTGGCATTCTCCTCCTTTCTCGATACAATGCAAGCATTACGGTGCACTACATTTGGTCTGGTCAAATTCATATTGCCTATAGCCAGAAATGTATTTCCAGATTATGTTGAGCTTTTTTATATAAGAAGAGAAAGTATTGTTTAGTTTTTCTCTTTATCAGATTGGTTGGTTTGTCCACAACATAAGCAGAGTCTTGGTCATACGTGCTTGTTCCGTTGTAGTGATATCGAGGCTGAGAGCAAATGGCTTTCTCACATCTCACAATAGGCTGGCATTAACCAAACTTGGTTTGAATATTCCGTACAACTTCAACATTCCCCTCACTAGTTTCCAGACATACTCCCATTGAGGCGTTTTAAAGGCACAAAAAGACCGGGTAGAAATAAATAAAACAGCTATTCTGCGAACAAATTGAAATATCCTGAAAAACATACAGCACCACAACCAAGCATAGACCGTTTCAGATGACCAGCTTCTGAAATGAACCCAGTATGATACACGGTTATGTACCAAAGATTAAGTTCATTTGTAATAGTGAATAATGCTACTTTACGCATACCTTAAGTCCGGGTGATTTTGTTGCAGCACTGAAGTGTCTCTGATACAGATATTCTTAAAGAAAGAACTATTAAATCAGAAAAATATATGAAAAAGTCACTTGCGAGACCAACAATATTAAAGTAAGACTATCTATTGCTAATGCTTTGCCGGCCATGGTAATAAGACTGATAAACCAGTCAATAGATGCAACTGGCCCAACGGCAGTATAGATTTCCAATTAGGGTATCTAATATGCTTTGATTTGATAAAGCAAATATTTATATCACTGGATCTAGCGGATTGTCTCTGTGATTTTATTAAAAACTTCTTATTTTGCAAAAAAAGGAATAGGTACTTATAAAAAGATATTTCTAAAGCAGCATAATAGTGATTATATGACAAGTTACCCAGAATACAATGTCTTAAGATATCAAGTACTACAAAAATTAGCTTTATATAGAATAAACCGAAAACTCGATGATGAAAATTCTATCAGACAAAAATGCTTTAGATAGATTTTTGAAGATCCCTTATGATTGAGTACAAACAACAAAGCTACTCAACGCGATCTAGTTATGACATTAAATCAGATTCAAAAAATTACTTGAGGAAATAGAGAAAGAATGAAAGACAAAGAAAGAAACTTAAGTTTCCTGTGAATGACTTACCATTCAGTCTATTGAAAAATACAGCAATAATACGCGGTATAGTGTTGAGATTTTCTGTAAAAACGTTCAAAGTTGTGACCAGACACTGGTATAGCAATGCACCCTCGGCTACAAAAAAAATTTCAGGTTCTAAATTGAGTTTACAATTAGCTTTTGAAAGCAGCAGGATATAAAGGAAAAGCATGAATCTAAAATTTTCAAATCAGCAACGTTTTTATCTTGCAGAAATATGATCTAAATTGATGGAAAGTGATCGATAAAATTTCTTGATGAAAAATATCACCATTGCAAATCCAGGGGGAAACTTTGCTACGCTGTACACCAAATTATATTAGAATAATGGAATAAGGTAAAAAGATGCATGGAAATAAGAAAATCAAACAGAAAAATCATTTCACCTCCATTAGCTACTTTGCAGTTTTGTCTTTGATTCAAGTTTGATTGGAATATCAGAAATTCAAGACTTTTTTACTAGCAGAAACCCTACTTGCAGACAGCAAGTTCACAGAGAAAAACAAACTAAAATGAAAGAAGAACTAAAGCCAGCTTACAGGATAAGGTGCAGGAGTTGTCTTCAGCAACTGTAGGGCACCCACAGGGAAGCATCTCTAAGTTCGTAAAGGCAAACTTTGGTTGACATCTTTCGCGATCAACTTCACAAATCATCTCCAATGCTGGCAAAAAAGACCTTGGAACCGAAATAAACATTAAATGGCATCAAATCTTGCAAATTCTGTGTAAAATGAAATCTAGAAGCATGCTGTTTACCTCTCAATAAAAAGCCCTTGAAGCCAATAAACCTTGAACTGTATATAGCATACAACAACAATTACTTCTACTTATCAATGACTTTACACATACGATCTAAAAAATCATAATAACAAAAAATATTTAAATACGTATTTGCTGTTCAAGGAGAGGTAGCTTACGTAAGTACGCTTTAAACCCATGCTCTCCTCATACCCCTCTCCCCCTTGCATAGTTGCATGCCTAATGACTGATTACCTCATCCCCCATTTGTACCACCTTTGACGATGCCCACTGAATTCTTTGGATTCTATAAATATACCTCAAAATTGCCGGTATGCAATGGCTAAACCACCCTAATTTTCAAGCGAATTATGTTAGGGAAAGTTCCGAAGAATCTATAGCAAAGCCCAAAACGGGGGAAGGGAGGAAACGCTAAGAGGGGCGGTCCATTTGTTGCTTTAAGTTTAAAAGAGGACAGGTTACTAGAGTCCGGAAAGAAAAAAGTGGACAAAGCGTCAAAAGTTCATAGGCTTTGGAAAGGAAAGAAAAGTTTCAGGACTGTGTTCGTAAATTTGGCAAAGAAACTTGGAAAGGGTTTTTGGAGTTAGAGACACGTCTTGGGGGAGGGTCAAGAATTACGTGCAAGGATGGCTCAGTTGTTAGAGGCGCTGAGTACAGACTCAAGGGTCCGTGATTCGACTCCCTGGCATGACCAAACTTTCACCCAGATTGAGGAGAGTCGCCTGCTCTCTGTAACTCCAGGTGTAGGAATCACTAGGTGTGGTCACATCGAGAAGAAGGGACATGACATATAAATCATAGCTTCTCGGTGTCCTAAAACTACCTTCGGACGCTAGGTAACAAACAATTTTGTATAATATGCTGAGGCGCACTAATGCACTACGTTAATCTGAGCTATTCAAGACATTTTCTGAATTTTAAATACCTATTGACTGCACACATGTTAATGAAATGACTGAGGTTCTATCTAAGATTTCTATAAAAAGAGCAGCTTCATAGAGTTAAAAAACTCTTGCCATCAGAAAAAGTAAGATAAAAATTGTTTCTGGCTCACCTTGAAAGGAAGGGAATCAATGTCTTCTCAACATTTTTCAACCAAACTGGCGACTGAAAAAGAAAAACAAAAGGCTTGTATAGGATTCCTTTCGTTTAGAAAACAAGCTTCAAGTAAAGCCTAAGATCTCTTATCATCAATTCAGATACTGATCATGAAAAAAAGAACAGAAATGGAAGGTGTAAGTATGTATCATTGCCAAAAGAGGAAGTAAGAAACAAATAGCGATTCCAACCGGTGGGTGTCAGATACCTTAATACTGAAAATGCATAGAAAATGAAAAAACGCAAAAATATTACTATCATGTCTTTGCGAATATATCTCAAAGGAAAAGAAGGCTAAGACCCCGTTTACACAAGAGCGGATCCGAACCGGATCGGATCCAAAAGAGTACGGATAGGCCTTGCGTTTACAGGGGAACTGGTGGATCCGTATACTTTTGAATCCGCTCTGGTCCAAGTCTCGTGTAAACGGGGTCTAAATATCGTTTCAAAGGACATGATTACAAGATTTTAAGAAAAGTTTTTCCAATCCTACCAATAATACGATACACAAAGGGATAGGAGATAGCAAAGGGGATAATCTTCAAGCTATCTCTTGTCAGGGAAAATATTTCAATGTCCAATAAAATGATCAGGTTTTCTTTATAGGGTTATTCTTAAAAATGTCACCGAAATCGACACCTAGTGCACATGAATAAGTCTGTGTAAGAACGTATAGTAATAGCCGAGAATTTGCAGCCTACCTGATGTGTAGCCTTGGCTCGCATCACTATGTGGTTGTCGAAAAGTCCCCAGGTATTCTCACTACACAAAATGAAATAAAAACAAAATGAATTTCAATTCTGGAAAAGCTTACAAACATCAGTGGAATGTAATATAATGCTTTACAATTCAACATATTATAAAATATGACAAAATAAAGGGTAACAATGAAATTTGCTGCGATACGACACGAGCAAATATGGTACGAAACAATTTGAATGATTCGTCGCGATGATAGAAAATACACTGTGAAGCAATACAATAGAAATGGATACAATACGAGTATATGAATTATAAAACAATACAAAATGATATGATATGATACCAGAAAATACAACTATATAATGCTACAAAGTATGAAGAAATACGATATAAAACAACATGAAATGAAGCGTTATGACACGAAAACATAAAATATGAAACGAAATAATACGAGATGGTGGGACACAATACGAGAAAACAAAACGCAATACGACTAACATGGCAGTTATATTACATCGAAAAACCTTGTTTGAAACAAAAAAATATCATCTAAATATTAGTTTTATCAATCAGTTTGAGCTGCCTGCAAAAATATCGTTCCCGTGCTGTGACTTTATCCAATAGAGAAAAAACAATAGAGAAAAAGGGATAGACTTTATTGCGAAGAAAATTCTCACCGATTTGCTAAAGCCATCAGAAAATGTGCCAAAGCATTTGACTTCGCAGAGGATTTAAAAAGCAAATAGTAAACATGGCTGAAAAACAGCTCCAGATCCAAATTCTCTGTTTCTTTTTCGACGCATTCAACAAAGTTGGCATTCAGGTAGCTTTCATTTCCAGCACTGGTTGAAGAAGGGCCTTGATTTTGAAGAAAATCGTCTGCTAGAAAAAAAAAATTCTTATAAAAAATGACGTCAGTAATATTCCAGGCTGGGTGATATTGATTGGTTAAAATACAGCCAATCGGGTGCGCCTTATTTCCGAATGGCTCAAACCAGCCCTCCTCCTACTGTGACAAATGAAAATGACAATGGTTTATAAGCACGCGTAAAAACTTCCATTACCACTTCAAGCCAACCTGGATATCGTTTAAAGTTGCACCAAATGAATGGAAATCAGTTAACCGTAAGCGCTTGCTTAATGACCATGGCAAATATGCCAATATTGAGGTTGCTGCTAAAAAGCCGTAAACATTTGAAATAGAATCTTTATTCTAAAAGTTACACATCAGCAATAAGAAACCTGTTAAAATTATCTTAACAAAATAAATAGGAAACAGGCTTAACTACCCAAAAAATGTTCTCAAAAGAAATTCAAGCGTCTAGATCTGCGAAAAAATATTTTAGTGAAACATAGAAGTAAGAAATTGCAAACCTGATGAGCTTGCTATTAAGGTTGGCAGAAGAGCATCTTTCATAAGAACCAACTAAAACGGTGCAAGATGTATTCAAAGATGGCAAAGGCGCAAAATGACAACGGCAATCAGTAAATGAATCATCAAAAGAATCACTCATCATAAAGCTAGCATACTGGCTATATAGAAATTAACAATCAGTTCTTTCAAAAAGGGAAGCATTGAACTACTATTTCCTATATCTTTAGGGTCAACGAATCGCAAATCCTTGAATCAGCCCATTGGGTGCTTATCATTTTTTTAATATTATTGGATGCGGGTTTATTCGAAGGATGGGGGGCTAATACGAGGGGGGCTTACAGTAGACATTTAGAAGACATTAATAAAGGACCTCGCATATTTTAGTAGAAAATTCTTTATGACCATTTAATTAATAATTACCAAAAGTATGAACTTTTGTGGTAATCCAATAAAACGCCAAAGGCAACCTCAGATTGCAAAATTCAACAAATCGAGGAGGGCCAATTCGAGGATTTACGGTAATAGCGAGGGCTTATTCGAGGGGGGGGGGCTTATTGACAATTTGTAGTTCTAGGATGGGGACTGATTCAAGAGGAGGGGGCTTTTTCGAGGAGGGGGACAAATTTGAGGATTTACGGTAAATCGTCGTTGTTCAGTTGAACCGAAGAGAGTAAAGTGTATAGAAAGTAAAGAGGAATGGAATCATGTCAAACATGTTTCTCTGCAGGGTTTATTAACTTTCCAAGTGATTGCAGTAGCTTTATGTGATTTTAGCCTTTAGATTTAAGTGCAGACTTTGCAAATAGAGGAAATTGTATTTCACATGTGATATCAGCAGCCATTTTTTACATCTGGCCACTGACGGAACTTGTTTGGAAAATACGCTTGAGTTTAGCTCATGTAAGTGCCAGATCCACCAACTGTATTGAGGCAGAAAAATCATGCCCGGCATAAAGGAGCATACCCTTTCGTTTTATCACGACTCCCCCTATGCCTTTAATCCAGCGATCATATATGATGAAAATGCAAAATGGCTGAACACAGCCAACCAGAAAAAAGCAAGCAAAAAGTTATGTTCAAAATATATTGAATAATTGAATAAATATGATGATTGGGATGACTAGCATCGAGTACAATTACATCATGATTACAATGAGTAGAACGAGGTACCTGGCAAACCAAGGGCCAAGCTGGATTTGCTTGACTCACTAGTGTCTTGTAAACAACGAAAACGGCTTTCTTTGCATCCATTTCGCCTAGGCTATAACGAAAACATCGATTGTGCATTGAAAAGAACTAACGGAAATAACTTATATTTGACAAAATGGTTTTGCCAAGCTGACGACACAAGAATGCATTCAGACCACAGGCAGAGAGAGAAATGGCAAAATGCGAATTTCTGAATTTCTGAAGCGAAAGGGGGAAAAAAGAAAAGGGTTGCAAGGGAGTGCTGGTGCATAATTCAATGTTCTGAAACTGATCCAAAGGACTGATACAAAGACACTTTTTAAGTTCGCGGCTGTAAACGACTGAAGCAAGCAATGACAAGAAACTTTTCATTTCTTCTAGAAAGCTGGTTTCAAACTTCATGTAGTAATGAAACAGTTCATGTCAAGAATGATGCATGCAGCTTATAGAACAAATGCAAACCTGTTCACGCATGTCGGAAAGAGACACGGCTCTGACCACTGAAATAAGATTCTTTCTGGCACAAAATTTTCACGATCGATCTTTTCTGCTTCGTCCTTGTTGGTAAGGTAATCTGCAACACTTTTCAGGGGAGCTGAAACCATCAACTAAAAAGAAAAATGAGGTGTTTCAGCAAAATTGAAAATATTGCATGGAAACCAACAGGATGCAATTGCATCATAACGAACGCTGCAGATTTTGTGCGCGAATAGGGTTGAATGACCAAATTCAATATCAAAATACAATGGCTTTGAAAAAGCAAACGTTTCGAAACATACTTCAACTTTTCTTCTGATACTCTTCAGTGTTTAAGACGCCAAAACGATCTAATATCCTTTAACGTTTTATACTCTGAAGAGCGTTTTTACGAACAGCTAAAGTATGATTCAAAATAAAAAACCATTTGAATTTTTCTACACCATAATATCACTATAAAAATAAACCCTTCAGTTAAAGACCGTTAGCACCTTTAAAATCTAAAACGAGACCTAAGGACAGTCCGGCTGCTGAAAAACTAGCCCTTACACTACCGGGGGTTGGTGTATCAAAAAATAGGGGGACAAATGAATGCCAGTTAATCTTAGGAAGTTGCTGTTAACCACCTCTTATGTCGAAAGCGAATCTCTCATGTCCTGACAATTTGAAAGAAATGTCATGAGCATTTGAAAACAAAAGAAACATTTACGAGTTTCAATGCTTGTAGCTAGAAAAACCCTCCACAACAACTTTTTTTGGGACATAGGAGTCTAATGTCAAAATAAAGAGTATAAACTCCAAAAGTGTTAAGAAACTGGAGTACTCAACGTCGACCTGTTCTACTTACAAAACAATGAGTGTATAAGCTAAACAATGTTACTCTCGCAAATACTTTAACTATGCAGAGATGTGAAAATATACAATGATTAAACACGAAATACAAAACACACCATGTTGAGGAGCATAATTGAACATAAAGAGTGGCAGTTGTGAATCTTGGAGGCCGTCAGTGGTGAACAGAGAATGTCTTTGTAGGACGATGACAAACTCCAAATGAGCCACGTGCTTACATCACAGATAGCTGACACGTCACACCTGGCATCAAAACAAAAGTATGTTTGCCATAGGTTAGAAAGTCGACATGAAAAGGTGATTAGGAAAGCACGAGTTAAAGATATCAACCATACTCCTAGCAAATGCTTACCATTGCTCAAATTTCATAATATATCATTTCCATAATATTGTCCACACTTTTTTTTTAAATATTAAAGAGCGTTTAAAAAATAAATAATTCACAATAAATACCTATATTGTTTTGTTCTTGCTTCTGAGGGCCTAATCTTTGAGTACCTTCCGGTTAGAATGACAACACTATCGTTGAGAATGGCGAGCAATATTTCTTTGCTTTCTCTCTGCGGCAATTGATGCCAAACATCTAGATATATGCATTTCATGTAAAAGGACCACATTTGGATGCAATAAGAGTACCTCTCACCCTAAAAACGAAAACACATTCATAAAAATTAATTGTGTAGCTGAGTCAATGGGGAAAGGATCAGGTTAAAACTTTTACGACACTTTCACACTGAAAAATTCTGTGTGCAAGAATAGGAGCACCTATCCGATGAGGGAAAGAAGGGTGCAAAACCCTTGACGTTACCTAGCCGGGCCTGGAACCAGACAAAGACATTGAGCTCCTTACATGTAATTAATTTGCACCATGGCAGATCAATAGAAATGGGTTGTACGGAGAGGTTTTCTATTAAAAAACTATTAACTTACTTCAAAAAATGCTTTGTGGTCAGACCAGTTGTTACTCTGTGGTTCGTGTAATATTGAATTGGTGATAACATTCAAGTGATACATAATGACGTTCGTCTTTGCATTGTCTAGCAAATCTTTGAACAGCTGAGTTAGATCTCGAAAGGGCTTCCTAAAATGAAGATGGATTCATGTTTAGTTGCTGACTGACACGCTTCAATAAAAAATTTACAAATTAAAGCTAAAATAACTACAAGCCAGCAGAATAAAAGATCAGAATGAAATAAAACTTTGAGAATGATGCTGATTAAAGGAAATGAGAGGGTGCAAAATATGGGGTGGAAACGAAGAAAGAGAAACATTATGACTGTGGATATGAAATAAATCTAGTATACATGTGACGTAAGAATCTCCAAAGTCAAGCAATATTTTCACAATTAAAACAACTATATTGACTCTACTTAATTTCGTATACAGTGTGCAGGTGAAAGGCTAAAAATGTGACAGTCCAGTGATACTACAGGCTAGGGGTATGATATGAGAATCCATCTATACGTACTTGCCATCACTTGCTATGCAGCCTTCGTAGAAAACGAGATGATGATAAAGGAACGACGCTGAACAAATTATGGAATAAATAGTCTTCACACTGCAATTGGCCGGAAGGGACTCTAGAGTCTGAAACAGAAAATGGTTATCTGGTGAGGAAATATGTGGATTAAGTAACTCTTTTTCGTTGCATGGCAAAAATGATTCCTTATAATTGAAATGGTAAAAAAATTGAAATAAAATGGTAAACCTGTTGATGGCAATAATGATATAATCAGAGCCTCGACATAAATACGACATGGAAAAGACCTAGAGAGATCTGAAGTCTTCAAAGTCTTCAATGCTTTATCATCATTCTGACGTTTCATGTACAGAGGAAATCAGTCGAAAGAGACTTGCCGCGGCCAGTTAACATGAAGTGTAGCATCCCATTTTGGATTAAAGGATCAAAGAAATCATACAATTTTGTGAAGTTATATCGAAGTTATACTATTCTGTGAAAAGTGTAAAAATGGGAAACTCAAGCTTACGTCATTGAGGCTTTTATGACAGTCCCTCAAAAAAGTGGTTACTCCGTCAATGAAGGATTCTTTAACTGGTTCAAAGATAGCTCCACCACCGAGGCTTGCTAAAGTCACCAGCTCATCGAATAAGGAGACAACCTTGGCGTAATTCTGAAAAAGGCAGCAAGAAATAACAAAGAGAAAGCATCGAAACACAACAAGGCATTATTCAGAACACCATGTTTGCTGTCTCAGGTATTGCTTGACTTTGAAGACATATAAGACCCTAAATCGACTGAAATCTTATTAAATCACCGAGTGCTGAACATGTTAAGTGACAAAGCTATTTTGCAACAAACCTAAAAGAAAAACAAGTGAGACAGGTGCAAGTACTATTTTTCAGGAATGCAGTGGTCCCAGTTAACATCATAGAGGGACAGGCGATAAGAAACGGAGGTAAATGAAGGGAGAACATTTAGTAGGGTGGAGTGATTAAAAGAACATGCTGCATTTATGGGTGTTTACAGAGATCAGAAAAGGCAAATGGTTAAAAACGGGCAATCCTGAGCAGTTACAATTTCAAACGTACAATGCGCCAAGAAAAGGGGCGAAGTGAGTTATTGCGATGGTTGGCAAACAAAGGAAGCATTAGTTTGAAAAGAAAAATACAACATAACAGAAAATAAAGTAAAACAGAAAGTTATCAACAAGATGTAAGCATTGAGAATTTGCAATAAGACAAATTTATAGAAAATTTTTTCAGGTTAAAATAAGTTCGGCCCTCTAACTCTATTATTAATCAGTATTATATAAAGACTTAATCACGATATCAAAGGAAATAAAAAAAATATCGAGTTCAAAGTCTATTTGCAACAGCTCTAGTTGTGCCACAATGTCTATTTGTGCCACAATGTCTTTTTGTGCTACAATGTCTATTTGTGCGACAATGTATTTTTGTTCCACAATGTCTATTTGAGCCACAATGTCTTTTTGTGCCACAATGTCTATTTGTGCCACAATGTCTATTTGGGCCACAATGTCTTCTTGTGCCACAATGTCTATTTGAGCCGCAATTTCTTTTTGTGCCACAATGTCTATTTGTGCCACAATGTCTATTTGTAACAGCTCTAGTTGTGCCAAAAATAAAAACAGTGACAGATTCATGTTTTATATTTCATGAGTAAATATATGTTTTAAAATATCTACTGTGCAAATATGAAAAACCTTTTTTGACATAAAATACCTTTGGAAGCTTTTTAGGGTATTTCCAGTTGTCGTATAACAAATCATCTGAAAATAAATGTAGGGTTAAGTTAAAAGAGGAAACAAAAGAAGATACAATATATGAGGTGCATTGTTATTACAAAACTTTGAATTTGCACAACAAAATATGAACAAATCAAGTCAGAAAGACTCTTTCGCATCAGAGATAATCAACGTGTGTAGAAAAATCCAAGTAACCTCGCGTAAATGGAAATCTTTTACGTCATGGAAATAGAATTGTTTGTTTCTAACGAATTTTTATATTTTTTTCGTTGTTTTGTTGGTATCAAGTGGAATACAAATAGAAGGAAGCCTCGGTTGAATAGAAATCTTTTTTTGCACGAAATTCTTGATTTATTTTAAAACGTGAAATGTTAGTCTCGCGAAGGAACCTACTTCACTTCTTTCGCAACCCTTTCTTTCCTTAAAGTATAACATACTTGCATAATTAGCCGGTTTTTACAACAACTTAAAGTATTGGAATTTTCACTGAGAATCTCTTTGTGCAGAAAAGCATCTTAGAGCAAAACCTTTTCTACGCAATGAGGTTGTTTCGCGTGTCTTGAAGACCGGCCAGCAAAAATCTTTGTTATTGTCTTTATCTAAATGTTTTCATAAATATCTATATTAATTATTTATATCAAGTGTATTCGAAAACAACACTGAAATTCTGTCATGAAAATTTGCTAGTCTGCTAGTTCAAGTTCTAACACAGAGTATCTAACACTGAGAACTGTGCACCGTGTCTAAACAAAAAAGGGGTGTGCACCGTGTCTACACGACATGGAGTACACGCGTCCTCACAGTAGTAAGCTAACAGCATTTACCATTGACATGTATAAGCTCAGTCATTTCATCAGTTTCTTTCAAATCAAGCAAGTAGTTTGCAGCAGGAAGATTCTTACGAATAAAACTACTCAGAGTAGAAATAATGCATTTGAACTGTTCTCTCCATGGCCACTTCGTCTCTGCACCTTTCAAAAGGTAGAGCGATACAAAATCAACATGAAATCGAGGTTAACCGAGGAAAACCAACAACATGACTGAAAACCAAGACTAAAAGAACACCGTAGCTTTAATCACATCTGAGGCAAAAAATAGCTTGCTTTTATTAAGTTATGACAATTATCTTCTCCGTATCTTATATATTTTCAATTTTTGGATGGCTTAGGATAAAAGCTAGAATGACTTGAATTTTTAAGAATTTTAAGAACGTTGCTCCTTAATTGCCAGCTTTATTTTATAACAAAGCTACTTAACAGATACTTAAGCATGAAAAAATGTCTTGGCAAAAAGCGTTACTTAGCAAGTATATGATGCCATTACATTTGATGAAAACATGGAAGAACTAATTGATGCATCTTGAGAAGGTCAGAATCAAATATAAAATTGTCAATGTGAAGTCAATATACAGAAATAGATTTGTTTGCCGTGGATTCATAATTAAGTAAAATACTTTTAAGTAACTGTGTCGATGATTACCTGTTTTAGTTCTGTCTTTGTCCTCGTCCCAGATGACATTATCAAGGCCTTCGGTTCTGCCTGATCCCGAACATATTGATGTCGACGGCTTCAAAACACTTCTGATGCACTCACCTACAAAAGAGTTATCGTAATGTCAGCCATAATATACCTTAGAATATACAAAATGATTATAATTGCACGCACTCGATTACAAATAAAGGCAAATAAGAAGTGCGTCAGGCACAGTAGCCGTCTGGATAGATTATGCAGTTGAAAAGACGATATTGATAAAAATATCTGATGGTAACAGAGCCAATCCTTTTGTTACATTTTGGGACCACACATATACCAGGCAAACATGGATCGCTTTTTGTCAGCAAGCTCTTTAGTTGGTCGTTAAAATCACCTGAAGGTGAAATAGGGACAAAATTGTATTTGTCCATGACTATGTCGGTAAATTTTACCTTTCATAATCCACCTTGCCAGCTATCCCTCCCCTACCCTTCCCTGTGTGCAGTTAAAAAGATAAATGTACGTTAGTGTCCCTAAGACCCTGAAAAGACGGATAACGAATCTGGATAAACGGAATTCATATCAAGTATGGATCGAAAGTAAAGTCAGAGCAAGAATGCCAAGTTATTGAAACAATTGGAAACCTTCAATATGTTATAGCCACTAAAGTAGGCAGCGAAGAGTAACTGGAATCATAACATCCTTCCATTCCTTCTTTTGCAACATGGCGGTCGATAGGTAGGGTTGGCAGTATAAAAAATGTATACCTACCACTGAATCTTCGTTCTGGCTTGATGGCAAAATACTCTATTATTTCAGCTACTTCATTTTCCCAGTTCCATGCGATAGCAAAAGCTTTAGCTATAAATCTGACGTCATCGAGGCTTGAGACAGGGGTTGGTCCCTCTTTAGGTTTGAAAGCCAATGTAAGGTGTGTGTCACGCACGCTCTCTGAACTACTCCCTCCAAAATGCCTTACGACCTTGCCAATTGCAGTCAGCAAATGCGGTAGGTAGACACTTTCAATAAACAATCTTATGCTGAAAGAAGGCATATATTCATTGATTTTCCATAGAACTGGGATATCCATGTTCAGCATGTCCAGCTGGTTAACAACAAATGTCTCAAGGTTTTCCACCATCTTTACCTGATGAGGAATGCAGAGCAATGGAAGTTTCAAGATATACTAGCAAAAATAAAAAGCTAACATATGATCAAACTCGTCAGGCTGGCATAATCTAACCGTTAGAGGTACCAGGAAAAAAGTAAAGCATTTCTCTTATTCTCAAATATCCACCATCAGCCGCGCTATGTACCATGAAACAACAGTCTTTTGCCTTTATAGCTAGGCATAGTGTTACGTCAGACACATTATAATTCGATGCTCATTTTATTAACATTTGAACAGTAAAATGCTCATTTTAAATACGCTAAATTATAGTATTATACAAAATGCCAAAGTTAACGTTTAAATTTGCCATTCCTTTGCTGACATATGAATAGTAGGGACACATAAAACACCGGTACTCGAATGCTAGAAACTGCTCCCGTCTTTGTACCACAGTAATTAAGATTCTCCACCTCTAAAAACTCTAAAGATAGGGTAGGAGTGGGGTACTAACTAGGGGGAATTGCCCCTCCAGTCCGAGTGACTTTACATTGTTTCAAACAATAGGCAATTACCGTACTCTTTAAAGAAACAAAGGCTTGGATCCTGGATCCCAAGCGCTGCAAAAGTATTGAATCTAGCAACAAGAATAGCGATTATCATAGGGTTGTTATTATTTCCCTAATGCCTCAATTAAAAGCTTAGATTGTAGCCCACTGTAGATAATCAAATAAAAAATGTCGAGCATTTTTGCACAGTGCTTCTACAGTTTGTTACTTCTTTTACAGTAATCTGAAAAGAAGCCTTAAAGATATTATGGTCTCTGATGGGTAGAGTATATGAACAACTGGCAATCAAAATTAGAATTCGAGTAAAGAGAGAAATATTCAAACTAGAACGACAGTTGCTATCCCAGTTTAAAACAGAAAATTATTACAAATGAACTGAAGGCATGCTGATGTATATTCTTCTTTATACTTCAATTTACTTGGTTAAACTTTTATCACAGCAGTAGCCGAAGTAAATTGACATAAGATAATAATAAAGGCAACATCATCGGGAGGTCATTTATAATCATAATGAGGCAGGTCTTCTGGTCTAAAGGGCCATGATAAAAAAACCTACACTCCAATGAGTTTTAACACATAAAAATGAAGAAATCTTGAGCAAATTATTCCTATAACATCCTATAACAGGAACGGGGACTAGAATACTTTATTGTCGTCATCTTCGCTACAATAGTTTGTAACAATTGGGGGTTAGTGGGGTAGCCTTTCCATTTATAAATCCCATTACTTGATGCACAACTCCAAATTGTTGTTGATGCATACTTTTATTCAAATGAAATATTTGAAATACATTTACCTTGTCAACATTCTCTTCATCAGCCCATGAAACAGAATACTTCTTTGTACCAGATAAAAAGATTTCTAATTGCTGCTCTCTGGTTCTTGAATACAACTGTAATATTTCATTTATAGGGAAAACAGCCATAAATAAATCAATTATTTGAATTCTTTTCATTATCTCTTTTTGGTACATTGGCTGTTCAAAATTCAACCGAGAAAATATATTTCCTTGTTGTAATTGGCTGGAAATTCCAGTCCTTAGCTTTGACTTTATTTTGTGCCACAGTTCAAAAGTTGTCTCTTCCACTTCCCCAGAAACTGTATTCAGGGATGTAGAAGAGCCTTCAGGGTCCCTTTTGACATCAACAGTAACAGCTGGCAACAAGAAACCATTTCTGGAACAAAAAATCAACAGTTCTTTCAGGATGGCATCTTCAGAACCTGCATTGCATTCTAGTGCCTGAACCTTGAATAAAGATATTATATATTAGGATGACAAAATCAAAATAGATGATCAATCATGAAAAGTGACCAGCCAATTTTACAATGACCAGTATCACAAAGAAGGAGCTGTTAATGTAAGTATGAACATATCCGCTTTAAAATATGAAAATTGCACTGCTGGTAGATAGATGCTCATTACTGAAAACTTCAACTTTCAGTAGCTTTTTGCTCAAGTTCAGTGGCAGAAAAATTCTGAGGGGCTTGAGGGTCCAAATCAGCACCCTTCAATATAGAGAAAATTTGGGCTTTCAAACGGCTAATATCCTGTTGAGTCTGTGTTTATGACTGAAAATTATGGGTTTGAGACCGGTAGAAGAAAGCCTGAATTGCTACAATTGCCCACATAGCTCTGTTACTGCAGCTTGCATCTTGTGGTATGGTTTTGACATTTCTTATGATGCAAAACAATCACTGAATTAGCTAAAGTGAAGAACTTAGAAACTTTCCACATGGAAAATTAATTACCCTTGGGAAAAGCATAGTACAAAACTATCAATGTAAAAAATTGTAAAATAGTGACAAATAACAAACTTACAACATTTGTGAGAAAGCAGTTTAAAGCCAATGGGTCAATTTCACAGCGTGATTCACAACCAAAACCTTGCTTGTCATCCACTGGTGCAACAAATTTGACATTGCTGCCAACCCCAGTTACTCTGGAAAAATCAGGGTAAAGAGAATTCACAAATTATGACAGACAGTTGAAAACAAATTATACAGTATGACAATCTTTGGACCACAGAAGCAGGGGGAGGGCTGAGGGGGCTTACAAAGAATTTCCTTGCTCTTGGTTTTTAGCATGTTTGGCCCCCTAAAAAGGTTTTAGCACCCTCAATTTGTAATAGGTGCTGCTATCCTTTTGACAATTGGGAATTTTTAGGGCTGATTAGATTCATTTCTTCAAATTAAAAACCAACATCTGCTGCTTTGTATCAAATAGCTGTTCAAGATAAAAACAATCATAAGTCATTGCAAGACATTCACTAGATTATGAAAGGTAAAAACAATCATAAACTGAAGATTATAACTATTGAAGATGATTTCTAGTTGCACTTCCTTGCTTATTTTCTGTCAAATTCGAAGAATGCCCTTTTATTTTACAGATATAAATATATATACATCGTACATGCATATAGTAAAATATATCTTTAGTATATTTAGTGACTATGGCTAACAAATGACTATGGCTAATTCATAGACTATGTCAAAGGTGTGAGGGACATTTATATAGAATGAAAGAAAACATTTTCCTTCACTTTCACTTCATCAATAATAACTTTACAAAATCAGAGGAGCCTACTTATCAACCTAAATTACAATAGAACAATACAAACGATAGAATCTCAAAGAGGACCTGCCGAACTGTAAAATATTAATAATGAAAATTACTGTTTAGAAGTCTGCCATAAAGTGAATTATACCATAAAGGCAGAGCTATACACACTTTTTGGTGTATAGGTGTTATTCTGAGCTTCACACTTATGCAATCATCAATCAACTAAAAAGCATTGAAAAGTGGAAACATATCATATAAAGTTATTTTCATCTGACACTTGTCAGAGAATAAACGTCAGAAAATGTCAAAAGGCAAGAAGAAATTTATATCCAGATGTGGATGAAAGTAACCTGAGAGAAAAAATACTGCACTTGATTGGTTTTTTGTTTTTGACCAATCGCAGCTGCTACTTTCTCACCTAGCTGAAGAGTGTAAGAGGGAGGACAAAGTCATTCCGTCTACACAGTTTGTCTTTATGATGTTGCAGCAAACAGCATATGTTTTTTCTAAAATACCTTTATCTTTTCATTCAAAAATATGCAAAAAATGAACGATTTCTAATGAAATGCATCGTCAATTATTGAATGCTTCTTTTTCCAAAAATTTTCTAGAAAGACTTTTCACATTAATTTAAAAGCTTAAAGTGAAATCACAGTCTAATAAACTTTAAAAACTCCCATTTGAAAGATTAATGTTTACTTACTTGATTAGAGCTTGCACTTTTATTTATCAACTTGATTTGATATTATCTGTATTTGTATCATTTTTACATAGCTACTTTTTTAGTTCGCTTGGCATGGTAAAATATCAAGATATAGCAGAAACTAAAAAAACACTTACCGCTCTTTCAAGTTTTCAAGTTTCAAATCGATATCTGCAGCTATTGCTTCAAGAGACGATACATCAAGAAGTGCAGCTGATTCCAACTGTTCCAATACATTGCCGAAAAACATTTCATTTGAACTGCAATTATTGGTAAAGGGTTCCATAATTCAGTAGTAAGGTTTCCAACCCAAAGTTACATTGTAACGCCAGTACTTTGCTAGCAAAACTCACCAAGTCGTCAACAATTACAGCATTTTGTCCTTTCGTTCGTATTTCCAGAAGAAATCATTTGATAATGAACTTGAAGAAAAGTTTTCCTTGCTTCAATTGTCCAGTGAATGTTTTCATGGCAGCTGTTGAAGAATATGCAATGAGAATTTGTTGCACTCTCGAAAACGAGGTTTTATTGAATTGAGGTTAGCGTATTCCTGAAGTTACCATTGGTTACATAGTGAGCCTTTTCACCCTCCCTCGATTAAGAACCCCTTTCACACTAGCATACTCCTTAGAAAATTGATTCTAATAATGAGTGCCTCCTTTGAACAAGTGTCTCCAGCAGGTTTAGTCTATTTTGACGTTTGGTACACTCAGGCACCGCGGAGCGTTGAGAAAAGTGGGGGGTCTAAAAAAGTGGGGGGGGGGGGGGGGGGGCTAAAACCGTATGAAAAAAGGCTTTTTTGGTAGTTTGATACTTAGTATTTGGTATTTTCTGCAATTCATTTGAAAGAATCCGATGAAAATTTCGACTAATCTTTACGAAATTGAAACTTAATATATACAATTCACAAGCAGTTTTGATTTTTGTCATAAGCATTGTTTAATTATTCAGTACTGGCTAATGTTTTATCACCTCTATGTTATGTTCAAATTATGCAAAAGGGCACAGAGAGGTTGTAGAGGCAACTGGGGTAAAAAGGAAAAGTGCAAAAAAATTGGCAATTGCGGCCCTTAGATTAGCTGAAAATACATCTCAGAACGATTTCTTGCAGTAATTTCGAGACGTTAAACGGTTGTCAATTATCCGACGAAAGCCCAAATTTTCCGACGTGAGCGCCTCCCCCCCCCCCCACCATGCCCCCATAACTTCCACCACTGCCCGGACAAGTGTTAACAGATGCCGATGATTCATTATTTTTAGGCAACTTTGGACTAAAAGACTTTAAGCCAACGATTTTATTGTATACTTATTTGTTTATAGAGCAGAAAGACGCAAAGTTGGCGCAGAGGTTGAAGTCATTTCGACTGTAATACGTGACAAAGGGGAGGACCTTTTAGGGATATGAATGGACGTTGCGGAGGCTACCAATAGTGTTATAAAGGAAGCAGATGAAGAAATTTCAATGAATCAGCCTCAATTTTCTTTTATTCAGTAAAACAAGTCAAAACTTTAAGTTTGGATTGGGCTAATTTTGTAGAGGCTTCTTTACCTAATTGCTAGTGTGAAGAAACGCATCATTTACGCATATGGTCTCGGAGGAGAATCCTTGTAGCTCCTGTGTGAAAATAGATTTTAATCACAAAAGAGTGTGGGTGGTTAGTAAGTCAAACGTTTTAACAAGCAATTTTTAACAAGTGCAGACCACCGCCACTATTTTCCAGATTTACAGAATTACGTTCTTTTGACGTCATATTGTGACCAAACTTATCTTATCTCGCGATGAAGCGTACAAAATTCAGCTTCCAAGTATTGTCATATTGTGTTCATTTGTTTTGTTTCGGTCTCAACGGAATTTTTAAAAAAGCGCGGGTTCCTTTTACAGCGTCGAGAGACACGTGCTTAGGCCCCTAAGGCCTATTCGATTAATTCAATGCTTAATTGCAAAAAAACTAAAAGTGCATCAGTATCCATAAAAACTTTAGAGACGGCAGAATGAAATCTGTTAGGTACTCCAATATCCAGCAACTTTACCCTTGCTTGGCAATCCTGATATTGTATACAACACTGAACAATCCCCTTTTATCGCTATGACAACATTCTCCAGTGTATAACGAGATAAGAGGAAAGAGCTAGAAAGTTGGTCTCCCGTTGATAGAATGGATTAATAATTAATTGAAACAAGTGATAGCTTGATTGAGTCATTAAATCCTGGATAAATTAGTTGAACCTCGTATCTGGCTTAGCTTTTAATTGTTTCTCTCCCCCAAGAATATGCATCAGAAAAAGTTTGTGTGGGTATTTAGTATCTGTGGATTGTCTATTGACAATAACGTGCACCAAAAAAGCACGGAATTCTCTCCGATGAAGCTTTTCAGGTGCGAGCGTTGGAGTACACAGTCATTTGAATATTTTTCGAGGGGAAATACGTTGTATTTGAAAATATCATACTGCGACAGTTTTATTCTGCGATGAATTATGTCTTTTGTGACTCAAAGTAAAAGGTCTGTAGATAATGGAAAACCAAAAATAGGCCAACGAATGGAGGCTGCCATAATTCGCAATATTAATCATGGCAAAATAATGAAAAATGAATTCGAGGCGCTGGATTCAGCTAAGAAAAGGATTGAAATGGACATGCAACAAAGAATGAAGTTTTTCTTAAAGAGACAGCATAAACATGGCTATCTAAGTGGACACGATGCTGTGGAGACGTCACTTTCGAGAAAAAAGAACGAATTCAATTCAGCGATTCATGATCATAGTCAGCATTCAAGGCAAGAATCAAAATCGTGGTTTAGAAGGGTCTACAGTGATTCTTCTATTGACAGTAAAGACGAAAACCACTGGGTTAAGAGAGGCAAGGACGTGACGTATTGCTCTTCAAGCGAAAAGGCCACTGCAACCCCTAAATATGAGCGAAGATATTACAAGAGTCTCGATTCTGCGGATGAAATTGTTCAATGCACAAATTATGGCCGAGATTGGCAACATAATGTCACCAATGAGAAAGAATATGAACTGAGAGCGGTCATTGACAGTTACAATCAACCTGATTTTGAAAACATAACCTCAAATGAAGATGTCTTCATTCATGCCAAGGACTTGCGATTGCCCTCTGGGAAATTAGATAGAAAACCTGGAATCAGTACTGGGAAGGTCATGCTCCAACAAAACCAATCTTGCTTGAAGACTGACAATTTCGCTACGGATGGGAAACATCTTCGATCTTCGACGTATACTAGAGGAGATGTTGACTTGAAGACTGACATTCTCGTAACGGATAGGAAACATCTTCGATCTTCTACGTTTACTAAAGGTGATGCTGGGTTGACAAGAGACGAACTGTTGCATGAAACCGTCCCGTTTTCAAGGAACCTTTTAAATGGCCCCAGCAATGGTAGAAGAAATCTCTTAACAAAGAGTAACGAGCAAGGAATTGCTCCAACAGAAAATCCGGGTAAAACATACAAGCCGCTTGATGCCACTTGTTCGACGCAGTCAAAATATGCAACAGCGATGGAAAGGACAGCTAACTCTCCCAATGTCGCCGTCAAAATTAGAACAGATCAATGCAGCAAGTCTGGTGTTAATGAGAACTTTACATTGGCTAAAAGATGGGACAGGATCGTAAAAAGCATGAGTGACTTTGCTTTACCAGGTATTGAAGATGAATGGGAGCAATTTTCGGATTACAGTAGACATTTTGAAAAAGGCGTGTGCGAAGAAAGTTTGTATACTCAACAAGGCTGCTTTGTGACAATCCTCAGTAAAAACAAAAGTAAGAAGAAATAGCTTTGTAGCTCAAACTTTTGTCTAGATTACTTTTATTTTGACCTGTACCTAGAGACTAGAGAAGATCGAATCTAAGAAGGGAATAAATCGTGAATAGTGTATTACCAAAGAATCTGAAAAAGCATCTGTGACATTGCTGGTTAGAATCACTTCATCCTAAAGAAACAGTTTGTGTCTAGCTCTGAATCTGGTCTTTTTAAAGGTACTTCTATTTTCGAGTTCATAGATGTTGCAAAGGAATATCAGTTGTAAGCAGAAAATCCGGATTAATATGCATTTAAAACAAAGAAGACAACACTTAAGGGGGCGGTCCACTGCTGAGCATCCAATGTATCCAAGCAGCTTTGCACACACTGTGGTGCAGAAAGGGTTTTTGCCCAAGGGAAAAGTCGATCATTATCAAGTGTCGATGTCATTATTTCGTTTTATTATTATTCAGGCCATGGTGATGGTAGAACAATTTATCATCTGAATTTAGAAGGTCTGACAACATTGAGGTTGAATAACCATTGCAGACTATTTGTACAATATAAGGTATAGCCAATTGGGTATAAAAGCCTCAACACATCACTTTGCTTTTCGTCATTCATGCATTTTTAACAGAATATAAAAATAGCTGGAAATATTACTAGGAAATGCATTCATTGGACTGCATATATTATGCTGAACAGGCAAATAAAATTGGTATTATCGTCTAAACAGCCTGGATATTTTCGTAATTGAATTTTTTGCGCCATTACCCCCCCCCCCTTCCCTTATATTGCATTGGCTCTTAGGTCAATTTAAGCACCGATTTGTACCAAAACCTTGAGAGAAAAAGTTTGTATTTTCGTTGTCATTTGTACCTTTATCAACGAATGTCACTTTCTCTTGTTTTATCACAAATAGGAGGAGTGAATTCGCTATAATTGGTCTTTAAGCTTTCAAAAGTTGACAAACCTCCCTACTCAGAATGTTTGCATCAAAATTGTTTCCAGTGCCAACTGCTACGTTATCTGTCATCACAATCAAACTTTTCAAGCTTGAAGTATTATGTGGTAATCTTACAGGTGACCATCCTTTTTATTCGAATTGATAGGTTTTGGATTGGAAATTTCTAATTTAGAATTGCCTAGGATTGATTTATGCAAGAGATTCGTTGCTAGAATTGTCAAGTTTTGATGTTTGCGATAATATTGAGAGATTTATGCTCTGTACTTGCTTAAAACACAAGTAAAAACATTTTGAATCTTCTTAAGCCACTGTTGTCAACTACCAATTTTCACGATTTATAGAACACACCCAAATCTAAAATTTAATAGGCATATGAATTTCAAAATTTGAGCTTAATAGACATGAGAACAACAACACATGATTCTTCTTCAAAGTTCATAATTTGAATATTAACCATAAATTCCTTAGTACAAAATATAGCTTTAGCAACAAAAATAATGAAACGAATTTCATTTGACAAAATTCGAAACTGAAACTAGCTATTTAAAAGCAGTATTTAATTTATTTACAAGTTATTCATCAGATGTGTCCATGTCTTCTCTAAAATGATGAGTCCTGAGGTGTGTTCTCAGGTTGCTCGACGAGATAAACTTCCAGTTACAAATGTCACATTGGTAAGGTTTTTCGCCAGTGTGGGTCAAAACATGACTCTGTAAGTTTCCAGATGTAGTAAATGCCTTGGAGCATATTTTACACTGATAGGGTTTTTCGCCAGTATGGATACGAACATGCCTGCGTAGATCACTTGAACTAACAAATCCTTTACCGCAGTAAGTACATTTGTGTGGTTTTTCACCAGTATGAGTAAGAACGTGCCTCTGTAAGTTCGTTAATTGAGCAAAGCCTCTTCCGCAAATATTGCATTTATAAGGCTTTTCACCAGTATGTATTCTGTTATGGATTTTTAAATGTGCTGCCAAAACGAAGGCTTTGGGACATTTGTCACATTTATGTGGCTTCCTGCCTGTGTGGATCAGCACATGCCTTTGAAAGTTCCATGAACGAGTGAAAGATTTGTTACAAAACTGACATTGATACACCTTTTCGTTTTCGTCGCTGCTTTTTGGTGAAAGTTCTCCTGATTTCGATGAAGGCACCTTATCACTGCTTTCAGTCTCAACTTTAATGTCAGCTTCAATTATATGTGTCCCATTATTGTGACTCAAGCCTGGTTGTCTGTCCTTGTACAATTTCCAAACACTGGGATCATCAAGAACGAAGAATTCATTATAGAGGTCTTTCTTTAGGTCGATGTTTGTTGGGAACGGTCGCATAACGCTGGCTGCTGCAGCCAAATATGGAAGGAAATTGTTGTTGTGAATGACGAGGTTCTTCATGGCAATGTCTTGTTCCGACAAGATGTCATTTTCATCGTATACTGAATCTACCAATTGGCCTGAAGGAAGAAAATTGATTATTTTCATTACAAAAATAAAGATTTCAATGAAAGTAGTAACTTTTATTAAATTATGCGGTTCTTGTTGTAAGCAGAGGTTGTGCTTTTGAGCTTGAACTCTTCTCCTATCAGCATTGCTAATTTATGGTCATGTGATCATGTGCCTATGTCGTTCCACACTGATGCCTACTTGCACGTGACTTTTATTCGGTATTCGAAATGAAAAGAAATCAGTGCACTTTCATTGGCCTATATTCATTGCAGGTGGTGTGAGAATTAGCTCAAGCGTGCACAATGTGTGTACGGGTTAAGATTAGAGGTTAACTTTAATTACAGGTTGTCACTGAGCATGTATGCTAGGTAAGGACACGTTGATATAGTTCTAGAATTGTGGAGCTATTTTGCTTTGACCATTCTAAAACAAAGTTGTTTAATTCTTATATTTTTACACCGTTTAACACAAAAAATTTGTATTTCAGAAAGGTATTTCAACACCTTGTAATCCATACTGTGCTACCGTTATACTCAATTATAAAATTGCCTAAAATTCTTATGCTGGTCTTCACCGAATACTTAACTCTTTTATTCTTACAAGTCTTTTTTGTTCTGCAAATGTAAAGATAGCAAAAGAATTGCGAACACTTTCAGTTGGCATTTTAGTACAAAATGTTTCCAGTTGGTTTCTTATTTCGGGACCTGAAATCGCCCTATCGTTTTTAGGTTGAGCATTTTGGGAGAATTTAAGCGCCGATAAACATGAAAAACCGATGCAGTTCAAAATCCAAAGCTTGCCATCTTTTCAAAAGAAAAATAAACAAAATGAAAATTCTTGGAGGCTTTTTTTCAAAAAATTAAAATTTACCTTTTTCCTAATTTTTTATGAGCCTAGTACTGAAATTTTCTTAATTTTTCGGCATTCTAGTACTAGTTTCTTATACAGCGGTTCCCTATAAATAAAAAAACGTGTACTTATTCATGCTACTTAAATTGCCAAAAGGACCATAAGTATAATAACTTATTTCATCAGTGTCTAGCGAGTGATTATTGCGTTAAAATACGTTACTTTAGCTGAGGTTGCTTATTTTTGACGACTGGTCTGTAGAATTATGCGAAAGCACGGCGAAATCATGCTGTGGAATTTCGCCGTAGAAAACAGGTGTGCGCGGACAACAGACTCGACGTGTGTCTTTTAAAAGCGATATCTGGGCCCTTATGTTAGTTATTTAACACAAATTACATTGTTAAATGATTTGAATAGAGTCTTTTGTATATACACAATACGTTTTACGTTCATGCTCAAAAATTTGTCAGAAATGAAAAGCGCGTCAGCTGGGCTTTCAGGAAACTGGCAGAAAATGGCGCTTAAATAAACAGTAGATTATTGCCTTTCAAATTAACTGTTAAAAGGTTCGCGTTATAAAGGAACTAATTTACAAGGTAAAGAAACATTTCACTATTGCTTGATGGTGTTCCAATGTAAACAAAACTCTCTTGCTTAAAGACTTTAGGGGATATAAGAAAAAAGAGCAATAAAGTTGGCGCTCTAATGTTGCTGACTCTAAAGAGCCCTCAAGAATCAAAACTTATGTCGAAGGTAAAGTTTTTTGAGTCTTTTAAGATAAGATTTTGGAGGCGTGTTGTTGCAAAGAAATGCAGGAAATTAAGAAGCGCGCCGAATTGCCAGAATCTAACTGCTATTCAGTTTAGAATTACGCGAGCTGTAACTTGAAGAGTATTTTTCATAAAGAAAATATTTTCTTGCTGAGATCAATGCATGCTGAAGTAAAATATACTAATTTTAACAGAAAATAAAGCTTATGGTTACTTGTTATAGAAATAGAAAGTAGCACCTATAGATTTTGGCACTTTTGCTCAGGTATAAAAGAACATTCACTTTTTTCTTGTCAGTCACCACCTTTTAATTTCATTATAGTAATGCAAGTTGATAGACTCAATTTTATTCGAAGGTTCAATGTGAATATTTTTTATGATTCTATTTTGACACGTGCCAAATAATTTTGAAATAACAGACCGCAAAATCTGAATGGCGGGGAAAATTTTGGGAATATTGTAAACGCATAGTGTAAAGTGGAAAATTGTTTAGTGCAATCAGGTAAAATAGGTTGAAAAAACTCATAAATCAACAAGAAACAGAAACTCTATTAAGAAATGACTTCCCTGGGATCTGTTAACGTTATTCCTTTTTCTAGGAAATTAAATTTTCTCAAGAGTTTGAATATTATTCAGATGATGCTAATTTATTTGAAAGTACTTACCATCAGGAACCTCTTGAGTAGGTGAATCAGTTTTCTTGATCAAAAACGATCGTGGCATGTTGTCTCTCTAATGGTCAATGTACAGAGATTTGGAAACGGCCAGAGAGATTCAGCAGAGCTCTTCACTAATTAGAGGCGCGTGCCGGATTTCAAATCTATTGGCTGGGAGCTGTGTCCAAAATGGATTTCGACTTGTTGTCTCTAATCTCGGCAGAAAAATATGCCGTTTACGAGTACGTCCGCTGCCTTTTTATCTTGACCTGATTTTTCGGCACCGTAAAGCACAATGAATTGAGCAACAGGTGGGGGATATACTGAATTCGATGGATGGACCATTATCGCATTACCAGGGGGTGCATCTGGATAGTGATAGCAACATCATAGTATTGAAAAAGTAACGTTTAATCGACACAAAACGCAAAACCTCGTATTATTTTGGACCTTAGATGGATCAGAGTTTTCTTTAATAGTTTCCTGGAAGCTTTTATAAATATTAAGCCTATATTTAGATGTACCGCGCAATGTTTTTGGCGGTTTTATTGCCGGCTTGCTCCCCCCGTCCTTTGAGCCGCACACGTCTATTGTCTTTCAAGAATTGTTCACACTCACCTGTGGTAGGATAGTAGCGAAAAGCTTATGAATTATAAGCTAAGAAACTTAAAAGGGCTTTAATGGTTGATTTCTTCAAATTGTTTTGCAATTTCAAGTTATATATTTCATTAAATCTTTGAAATAGGCGTACGAATGGCGTGTGCCGTTGTTTTGCATTATTCTTGCTTGGTGGATGCTCATGCGCGGAGCTTCTCAGAGTTACTCAGATCACTATACCGTACACCAGCCACCAGAAATCACTGAAGGTGATGCAAACGGGGGTGCTGATAACTGAGTTGTCTTGGCGAAAATGTGCTGATCATAAACCAAATAACTGAACGGCCTGAAAATAGAAGCATAATTCGTTTTCTTGAGGATTTGGCCCTATAATCGGGGCCCTTGTCTGCTCTGAAATCCCTGGGTATGGAAAACCCTTTTTGGTATAGAATTGAACCTTGTGTTTGCGAATATATGGCCTCTCAAAGAGGAAAAGGATGGTATTTAAATCTGATTAATGATGTTTAAAATAATCCAAGGTTAAAAAGTCAAACTTATTTATAGGCTGGGGACATGGCTCGCTCGACTCTTGAATCTTACTCATATGAAACAGTTGTGTAATAATTAGGATGAATGAAAGAGAGCCCTTGCCTTAAAAATTCTGTACTTAAAGTCTTTGAGTGACATCGTTGTTTTTTCTGCGTTTTAAAACGCAAAAATTTAAACGTAAATGAAATCATCCATAAAGAATATGCTAGCATCAAGGGTCATTTGGCAATGAGAAAATTTACTGATCCCCGAACGCTTGAAGCCCCTAATATGTATCTAAAAGCTGGTTCTAATATATACGGCCTATAAACCGTTTGGTGCTTCATGTTTAACAACTCATGCTGATTTACAAGATTTACAAACAATGCAGCATCCCCCGTCTTTACAAAAACCACTTTATGCATCGTTCGTTAAACGAGAGCAGCGCACCCGTTAGCCTGTGCTTTTGGTGCCGTTGATCACTAGCCTCGTTTAGATGCTACTGAGTACACCTGACGTTAGTCGTCGAAGACATCGTATTGTTTTAAGCTGTCGGGCAAAGATTGCCTAAATCAAAGCCCTTTATTGACGTCAAATTTTCCCTGATTCAAAAACCCAGATTCGCTGGTATTGCTATTATAGTTGCCCTCGAGAGCTGAATATTTAATAAAGTGAAAGACCCTATGCAATGAGCACGGAATGCAGCACCAGCCACGGTGTTGACCTCATGCCAAGACCATGCACCCTCGTTAATTTGAACAAATGCCTTAGTTCAAATTGAACAGGTCTCGGACAGCCAATTTTGTTGCAGGGATCGAAGGGTTCATTGTGTCTACCAATAGGCATGGAGACATATTCATTAAAATCACGAAGCAAGTGATGAAAAGAAGTTTGATTGAAACTTTAATGTTTTTTAGTGCAAACAAAGAAACAGATCATAGTAGAAGGCACGACTACTTATCGTTCAGTAAATGGCCAGTTAAATTTAAAGAAACGAATATAGTAAACATTAAACAAACGAATCTAAGTGATTAAGAAAATCTTTGGGGATGCAGGTTAAAAGAAAATGAGGCCCCTTTGAACAATATACTTATGGAAGAATTCGGCATTGAGGAGCATATAAGATCAGAACTAGAAACTAGTGTTTAAATCTCGTATATCAATAGCAAACAAGAATTTTGCTGTATATTAATGTCGCTGGCAATATTAGATGATAGTGTATTACATTAAATTGGGGTGCTTTTGATTCAATAAACTTTTTTCAAGCGTTCTATAAAAGATGCTCAATGCACTTCGTAAGAAAGTTCTTTTTGCTTTTATTATTGGTTCAACATTAGTGATGATTATAGAAATGATCGTGTGGTTCGTGTTTTCTTAATAAGATTACATCCAAGTATCCAGATTTATTCTTCGACATTTAATTTGAAGATAGATAATGGCTTGGTCTGGAAAGTTGATCTGCAAATAGGCATAAACCTCAACTTTCCTTATGAGAATCAAAAGGCTGCTAATGGCTGTTTGATATTTGTTTCTGGCCAGTAAGGATGAGCAAAACAAAATAGAATGGTTGCTGAGGAAAAATAGAATCACCTTCTTGAAGATTAGAACGGCTGTTCAATGTAAAAGGGCATCAGTTATGTTCTAGTGAGATTCAGACTTGGCGATGAAAATTCACAGAAGGTAGAAAAACATTAGATAGCTGAAACAAAACATTACATAGATACATGGAAAAGTGGTGGGAAAAGCTGTCAGTCTGACAAATCCAAAGGCAACATGATTGAGTGTATGGGTTTAAGTATATTATTGGCATTATTTGGGGATAAGCCGCTTCAAGCTCCACGTCTTCGTAGCCCTTGGTGAGTTCGACTGGTGTGACGTAATAAATAAAGAGATACGACAGCGTCTGGAAATATAGGAATACGTTGTCTTATATGACATCTATGTGGCACGCCAACAATAAAATGTCTAGGTAATAGGTTAGCCAAGGTAAAAGTATATCAACAAGCGTTTGCTTTGCTCATTGCAAAACGCCTCTATTCAAATTCTACGCTAGCTTCATATACTCGTTGCCTTTCTTATGACCTTTATGCACTAGCAGGATTGCATTCCACGCATCGTTCACTGTCGGACTAGGTAGCCACTGACCCAATGCCCTTTAAAAATTTGTGAGTTTAAGGGAATCTGCGAAATGTAATTTTGTTGCCATTAATTGTATATGCATACCCTGGCTACCTTTATGATGGCATGTAAACCTTAATCTGTTACTGTTTTAAGTTTGAGCTAGAAGAAAATCTCATTGCTAGCGCACCAAGAGTTGCAAAAGAATCAAATTGTGGCTCCTACAATGTTTATGATATGACCATAACTGAAGTGATACGTGATGGAGTCTAAAAAACTATTGCCAAGAACTACAGTTTCGTATAAGGCAAAATAGAATTCATTATTACTTTTGCTTCAGTATCAACAGACCTGCAATATTCTTGCATTCTTAAACAAAGCATCGTAACTTAAATTCATTACTATTTACAACAGCAGAATTGGACTTAAGTCTATTGAGACGTATAGCGTCATGAATGAGTTCGTGCCCAAACAGTTTATGCCCCCAAAGTCCGCCAAGAGAGTAGCTCAAAATGAGCTGCCCAAAGGAAGTAGCTTACAGAGAGCATGCCAGCAAAAGGTCTACTGAAAATGACTTTCTGCAGCCAATCTGCGAGAATGAAGTTACTTTGGGTATTTTTATTCATCTATGACACTTTGGCACGACATTAGTAGACATTTTTGCTGCATGTGTTTTTGGCGAAACAAGATTATCAGCATTGTCAGATGCTTTCTACTCTTATGAGTGTTGAACGCAAGTAAAACATTTCATCGTGCGTTCTGTTTCTGTTTTCTTATTCTTAGAATGAGAAAAACATCCGAAAATTTCATAAACTGGATTATAATCGTCAGTTGCATGCCGAACGACATTAAAGCTTGGCAAAACAGGTTGTTAGGGGCTTAGAAGATTATATATACAGTTAGTTTTTACTCTTTTTGACAAGGCAAAGAAGTGCAAACGACTTATTCAAAAAGTGGGGGATGGGGTAGAGGGATTACACCCTAGCACTCTCTACTGTAGCACGCCCCTGGTAGCCATGTTAGCAGATATATGAAAAACGTTGAATTTTTTAAGCATTCAGCAAAAATGTTTGAACGGGAGAAGGGTGCAGGACTCAGTGCCTATATCAATAACCGATAAAAATGCCCTCTTGATATCAACATCTCGTTCCTTTTACAGAAAGAATAAAAATGAGCTTTACTTTCAAGATTGTTCTTTTCACCGAAAACAAGCGAGATAGTCTCGTTAAAACTTCGGAGAATAGCGAACGAGACACGCGGACGGCTATTCATACCCTTGACTAACTGTCGGCCCTCGTCTACAATTTTCGCTATTCAATTGGTATTGCCGAGCTATTGTAAGTTCGCAGGTATGGCATTGCTTTGTCGACGCCAGCGCAGGTACCAGAAGATCCATGATAATTACATGGAATTATACACCTTGTCGTGAGCACCTTCGACAACACTAATCGCACACAAACAACACCAACTCTATAAGGAATAACAACATGATAAAAACTTGCAGTGACGCGTTGTGGCTTACTGAAACGTAATGATTTCAGATATTTGACAAAACTACTTTTAATTGCTAGCGTTTCCGTTTTAGATAAAAAGTTCCTTTTTGTTTAAGGTCGTATGGGCATATTTCTTTTTGCGACAAGAAAACAAGAATTCCTTATTACATTGTGCGTTCAATAGTGGAAAGAGAATGCTGCAGGTTTAAAGGCCCCCAAGGACTTCTAAACTAAAAGCGTAATGGTTCTTTTTAGGAGGCTACCACTCCCTTGAATTTCATATGAACACTCTGTTATGCCCTATCCTCAGCCCTGTAGAGAAACATCACATCTGCCAAGGGGATCTGAGTCTTGTGCGTGGTCCGTCTCTAAACAGATTCCTCATAACAGTTTACTATTGCATCGACCGACAGGTACAAAATCCCTATTTAGAAAGGCAATGGATTTAAAATACATAGCATTTACAAAACATCTGGTACCCGTTACGAAAATATCATGGCTCTTTTGTAATATGTTTAGATTCATGTGAGATAAGCGAATTTCGGGTAGGGCTAATCCAGATTAGACCATTATCACGAAGTAACACATAAGCATTCTCCGAGTCATCATCATTTTATCTTCCGGGTAAAGACAACACCTTACTTTCTCAATAGGCTACGGGTTTCTTAGAACTTCTTTGCCCCTATATTTTTCAAACAGAAAAAGCATACCTTAACCCTATACCGCAGGCCAAAGTAGGTGTGTATGTACTTTGATAAAGGCGATGTCAACATTTAAATGAAAGGGGGTAGGACTCTACACTGTTTGTAGAGTCCTACCCACCCGTTTACACGGGATCCGGTCCAGATCGGATCCATACGGGATCACCTCTGAAAGTGTTCGGATAGCGGATCCAAAAGTATACGAATCCATCAGTTTCCGTGTAAACGGAAGGCCTATCCGTACTCTTTTGGATTCGATCCGGTTCGGATCCGCTCTCTTGTAATTGGGGTCTATTGGTGAGAGTTTGTCCATAATAAAAAACGTTTTTTCCTCTTTCATCCTTTCTGTGCCATGTTCGTTAAAAAATGGTTTGTTTTCGATTTTCAGCAAGCGTGACGACAATCATGCGCTCGTCAAAATCTTCCAATATCGGCCTTCAGACGAACCACGTTCGCAGGCACTCGTACCCTTGCTCGCCTCAACTTTCTTCCCCTAAATTGGACCCCCTTTCTATATTCCAGACAACAATAAGCCTTTTTGCGATAGTCTTTGCCATTCACACACAAACTAGAACGACGAAAAATGCTTTTTGGCGATGTCAATTTTTTTGCGTTGATGCCTCTTAAAAAAAGAAATCAATTTCTTTGAGGGGCAATTCACTCTTGCCAATAGCGTACGAGATTTTACCTAAAACAAAAGGATTTCTGGGGATTTTCAGATAAAACAATAGGATTTTCACAAAAAGTGTACGGGATTTCTTCTCATTGTTTTTGTTATTAGAAATGTAAAATTCCTGCCTTGTTTGCGGCTAAGTCGCTGGTAATTTTCCTATAGCCCTATAGGCACGCGGTACTGATTGGACAACTATACCGGTCGCATACTAGCGTTTTCTTGTTTGGCCTGTTTCGATCCACAACTGGGTATATGTTTTCCCCTGATTTTTCGGAACCTTATTCTGACGTTTTATGCCCTGAGGAGCGTCATACGAAAAAGCTATCTTGAAAAATGTTTGCTATTTTTAAAGCCATTTCCAAATTTTGCACTGCCATGAGAATTGCTTTTTACGCAAAAGTCACGGAAATTGCTGTTTTCTGGCGCATGAATCTTTCTTTTTACAGAGAATAATCAGAGGGGCCTTCGAAGATAATGGACCAGTATCTGGACATGTGTAAGTGACTGAGACAGCTGTCCCCACCTCAAATTCAACATGTCTCTCAAATTTAGCACATTTCAAGAATGAATTATTCTTGAGCCTTTTGAAAGTTTTGAAAGTTTTCGCCAAGAGCAGAAAAATCTCCGCCGTTTGATGGTTACTGAATTCATTCTTGAAAGTACTGGGGCAAAGACATAAAAGAAGGGGCAGAGGCACTGGAGGCAAGCAAGATTTAAAGATGAAGGGTATAGAATTACATACCTGAAGTGTATTTTTTATGATCATAAAGGCATCGATCAAATTTCCTCCTTCATAGCCAGTGAACTAGGGACAGAATCAGGCCACTTTGTTCTGTACGATAAGGATTCTCTTCACTGAAATTTCAGTTATGTTCAGTCTCATCTTCGAATTCGATTCGCCCGTCACTTCTACAGTCCAAGTATCAATGATAGCTAAAAATAGCGTTATCATTACTGGCGAGGCGGTTCGGCAGAGAAATGATCTTTCCTTGAGCTTAATTTGGGTCAATAATTGGCCTGCTTTATATAAAAAACAAGCAATGTTCTGTGGGAAAATAAGAAAAAGACTTTAAAAGGAGCAATTGGACTCAATACATTGCAATTCTATCCTTTCATTATTTGTCAATACATTTGAATTATATAACTTATCATAGATTCAAACTCGCCTTTTGAGCTTTGGAAGAAATGGGCGACCTTTATCTATTAGTTTTTTCTATTGACTACGGTTCAGGGATTTGAGCCTTACCTAAAAACATCAACGAAAAGAAGGAAAGGGGTAAAATGGGTTGATATCGATATTTTAAGCTATTTATCTATAAATTTACTACAGTCTCTAGATGGACTACAGTGGGTAAGAGCAAAGCCAAAATTGGAGAAAATGGAAGATGAGTAAGGTGACAGAGGGAATGTAAAACATTTGGAGGAGTATTTTTGTGATAACCTAAATAGCAGTACACGTCATAGGCTTTAGAATGAGACCACGTGAGAGACTTGTGAAAAAGGGAGGTAAAACTTTTTCATGTGTACTCAACAGTTTCTAAATTTCCATTTTTTCATAATCCCAAAACTATATTGCAACACAAATTGTTGTTGCTTATTGTCTTGTGTCATCCAGTGAAAATGATTAAAAACACAGCGTATAAAAAGCTTGCAAATTCTTTGTTACACTGTATAGCTATTGTTCTATGTGTAGCTATGCTATTTGTTAAACAATCACTGCCAGAATTACTTGGAACCCCCAACACTTTGCGCTGTGCTTTTCTATTTTACACTTATTTGCCCGAATACTACTACTTCCGTCCCCCTTGCCCCCAAAACAATGTTGAAAGCATTGAAAAATATTAAACAAGGGACAAGAAAAATCTTACTTCATACTTTACTTCTTTTTTCTGTAGTAAATCAACATTGTTCCTAGGGGTAGAGGGGGTGTCTGAATTTGCCTTTGAAAACTGACGTTAGTGTTTCAAGACTTTTGACAGGCATTGTACCTATGATAAACACATCAAGGGCAGGAACAATGTCAGGTGATATCGTAATTTAAGAATATTTCTGAATAGGGCTAGAAGCTCTTCGGTTTTTGATTGAGTTTGCCAATAAAAGAAAAACATGGTATGTTAATCTCGTGCTTGTTTCCCTGCAGCATTAATGAAGATTGATTTCGGTAGAATTCCAAAGATGAGGTACCTAAAATGTCAATAAATCAGAACAATAAAGGTACCTTTAAAACGTGGATTATTATTGGAATGATTTCTCACTTTATGTGAGAAAAGGCAGGTGCTTAAGAAGCCTTTTGCTAGCTACCCGTAGACATGCAATCATTTTATGACGTCACTTTGATTATTGTTACATCTCAAAGCATGTTTGAAATTGTCGATAATTCTAAACAATGGTTATCTGTAGTTTGGGATCAATACTTAATATGCCTAGAAGCAAGTTGCGTAGTGGAGACCCGACTGACATCGTCAGGCCAGTGGCGGATTTAAGGGGGGCAACTAGGGGCAGTTGCCCCTCCCTCTACGAGTTGAAGCAAGTCTGGTGCCCCTTTTTGGAAATTGTGCGCCCCTTTTGAAGAATGAGAATCAGGTGAAAAAGTTCCTGAGACCGATAGGTTAATTTGCTTTAAGAATTACCTCAAAGTTATGTTGTTTGTGCCGAAAATGGATCTGAAATTGTTGTATACAGCGTACTCTCGTCATCAATTTTTGAAAAATTTTTCAGCGCCCCCACTACTAACTGCCCCTCCTTCAAGGGTGCTCTGAACCCACCATCATCGCCAGGCTGAGATTGGTGCCCAACCTGATACTCTGAAAAGAAAACGTACTAGGCCCTAGCTCGATTCTGCTTTCTAATAATGTTTGATAGTGCGGCGCTTTGGTTTGGTCCTTTAATTGGACAAATGTTTGCACTCATGAGCATTAAACAATAATGAAGTTTGAGAAAAAAAGGCTGTTAGAGATGATGTGAATAACATTTTGGGAAGAGACGGCAACCTGCACAAACTAAAAAGTTTTAATTGATGTTATGCATGATCCAAAATCAATATATTCTTTCCATTCATATTCTATGCCAAACTTAGTAATGGCCACTGAATACTCACAAAAAGTTGGTAGCTACAATACATTTCTAACAGAGGATAAGATGAAACAAAGAAACCTTGTAGAAAATTGTAGTATTGATAGTATCCATATAAAAATAAACTGCCAGAAGCTTACTGCTCATCATTCACAGCTATATACTACTGCTGAACTACTGAATATCTAGATTTATCCATATAATCTTATTCTGTGGAATTTAATAAAGCAACTTACCAAGGATCGCAACGTTTATTTGTTAATGAGTGGTTACCAATTGTGAAATATTACCTTTAATCCTAAGCGCAATAATGACCCCAGAGACACCAAATGAGAGCGGCGTAGGGTTGGGGTGTCGCAGCCTTATCAAGTTAGCCAAACATGGAATTATGATGGAGAAGAGTATGTTCAAATTCCTGCTTATTGTATATATTTTCTTACTATTCAGTTGGAAGGTCAAGCAATTCTCGTTGAGATTTGGTTACACTTGAGTTCACAACCCGGACGAAAAATCATTTTCTTGACTGCATCATTGAACGAAAAAACCAATTACAAAAGGGAACTGCAAGTAGCCAAATAAACACTTTAGCCCACATTTATTTCAGGTTTGCGGTTTTCAGGTTTGAGGAATCGTGGATGAGGTTTCCGGGGCTAGAAAATTCATAGCATACTTTTCCTGGTCCTGTATCAGACTAAATCTTAACCGCACGCGCAACATATCAATCGCAAAATGAATATGCACTCTAAAAAGCCTTCTAAAATCTTTCAACCAAGTAATTTGTCTAACTTTGTGTTTCGGAAAAAAACGGCGACAGGATCTTTGGCTTTCATTACTCCATCAAATGGACTGCCAAATTGCGATTGTCAAACAAACTAAAGACTTCCTCTGCGTTTCGAAAGAATCTTTAAAGGCTTCTGCGCAACCGGCACGCTTTGCGACTATAATTCACAGACCCGGCCTAAGTTTTAGTCATGAGTTTTGTTCCAACCACGCTGCAACGAATGAACTTACATTTCTAACATTTACAGCAAATTAAGCAAACGTCACGAAAAAAAGATATTCATAACATTGCAATGACTTGATTTTCATTAATTATGCTAATAATTAAATACATACTGTTATTGAGGCCCTAAAAACTAAGCATTTCACACAAACTGTAAACAATTTCCTTCCCTCCATTGGACTTTGTTTCTGCACATCAAAATCTTTGTTTCGTTTTCTGATCATTTCTATCAAACCCTTAAAAGCCCAGGTGTGAAGTAGCGAGCCAGAAATTCTTAAACAATCTTAAACAATAGATAATCAACGATCTTCCCTGTAGGACAATAGTGTTCACGATAGAATAGAAAACTGTGCGTGCTCAATTGATAGACATTCACAGTACCAATCAGTGAATGTGTTTCATATCATGCACAAATCGAGACTTATTATTAGATCACGCTTTATTAGGCTTTTCTTGATAATTACAACAAGGCTCGATTTGCGAAAAAACGTGGGAACATGACCAGCCTCAGATCAAAAACTAGTAGAAAAACAATGCGTTTTTGAAAATTTTCGTGTAAACAGAACTGAGCAGATTTTATCAGCTAATCGTCAGTGGTGCTAAAAATAGCTTGCAAACGAGTTATTTAGTGGTCTAATAGTATGCATTTGTAGAAAAAATGTTGAAATCAGAAGAAACATTAAGAGTACCCGAGCCTCAAATTGTCCAAAAATAAGAGCTCCGAGCTTCGCGCGTCAGCAAAAATTATCTGGTTTCACAAAAGATGTCTAGCCTTCTTAATGTTGTCAAAATGGCAAGCTTTTAGAAAGCAGAATGTCAACAAAACTCTCAATGTATTCTTGGGGCGAAACTTGAATTCAACGCACGAGCTAGGCATGCGCGAGTTGAGCAAAGTTCAGTGGGGTGGTCAAACAAACTGAGCATCGCTCAGCAACACCCCGAACAAAAGAAATGTTTAATTACTCTCTCAACATTTTTTATCGCCGTCGAACATCTCTGAGCAGGGCTGAGCAAAGCTGAGCAAATGGTCAAATGAACTGAACTTTTTACTGAGCAGGCATGTTGAGCGTTGCCCCGTGAAATGTTCAGTTCGTTTGAACTGGGCTTTACAAAAGGGTGAAGCTCTAATTTCTAAAAGATCTTTCAAATCAATATGCAAAAATAAGTTGCACCTCCAGAAAAGGGAGAAGTAGAGTAATAATCAAATAATGTATTTGAAATTATTATTCGAATTATAAGGGTTCAATTTAGATTCAGCTGCAAGCTGCAAATATTTGTTGAATTGTACACTTGTCTTTCTTTAGGCTACAATCACTGCCAAAAGTCTTTCTGGAACACTAACGTCAGTTTTCAAAGGCAAATTCAGCCACCCCCATCTCCCCTTAGGAACAATGTTGATTTAATATAGAAAAAAGGAAGGGGTTGTGGAGTACGCTTTTTCGTGTGCCTTTATATGATATTTTTCTATACTTTCAACATTGTTTTGGGGGGAAAGGGGGACGGAAGTAGTTGTATTCGGGAAAACAAATGAAAAAAGACAAGCACAGCGCAAAGTGTTGGGTATTCCAAGTAATTTTGGCAGTGATTGTACCTTCTGACTTATGCATCTTCAAAATTAGACGGATCAATAGTTTCGAGAGTTTGTTCCCCACACCAAACATCTCAACACTGATATATCTGCTGCCGATACCAACATTTCCCTAACATTTCCCAGGTTTAAATATAGGATACATTTTGCTTTCTGTTAATGCTATCAAGCCTGGTATGGAGGGCCTTTTCAAACACGCTCGTCAAAGATAAGGACATCTCTTTTACAACATTATCACAAGCGAAAATACAGTTACAACGCAGTTGTCAATGCAATGAGCTAAAATTATTCCAGTCTATGCAATTTGTCAGGCAAATCAATGACATATATTGTGATTTCATAAATGCATTTATTCAGCGATTAATTTACTTACTCATTCATTTGAAAATCATTACTTCATTCTATAAATGGACCTCAGGTGGAATGATAAGTATAGCAACAAGAGTCATTACGACAACAAGGGCAAATGCAAAATGCAAAAATTTATCTATTACCCATGCTAACTGTTGTCTTTCGTTTGTTATTTCCTCGCTTCTAATCTCATCTTTTAACTGACTGCTCATATCTTTGAGTAATACCAGGAATTCATCCTTAAATTTGCTTGATAACGTTGGAAAAGGCTTTGGGGTATCCTGTATATCATCTTCGGTCTCTTCGTTGTAGCTCAAGATATCAAGCGGATTGTCATGTGTAAACTCTGTTTGTTTTGTTTCTTCCATAAATTGATTCTCGATGACGTCAGGATGGTCCTCCTGTTTGTATTTCATTGCGTCTATAGTGCCAGCATCCTCTACTTTACGGGATCTTCTGAATCCAGGGGACAGTCCAAACAGCCAGCCGAGACCTTTATTTAGGAATAATCGCACAAATTTTGGTGGAAGGGATGACTTTCCTTCAACGTCGATAATCAGACAAATAAGCATGATAGCAATGCTTATTTCTGCTAAAATTGCAATCATGAACTTGCTAAAAAGTGGGGTACCCTCGGGGTTTTCTGGTGTCATGTCCGATATCATGAGAGAATAAACCGTTAAAGAGAGTAGACACGTGATCAAAAGATTCACCCTCTCACCATACCTGTGTGGCAAGAAAAATGCAAGTACCGAGAGCAGAGTGATAACCAAACTTGGGACCATGAAGCTGTAAATGTAGAACATCGATCTTCTGCGAACTTGCAGTGTGTATGTGACGCTTGGATAAGGCTCCGGACAACAGCTGTAGTATACTACATCTCTAACAGCTTTAAAATCTGTAAAGAAAAACAGTTGATTTAGAGATAATACGCATCCTGAAGAACCCAGTGTATTCTGATCTTTCCAATATTATCTTAGTTTTACCTTTTCATGTTTGTTGTGTGCTTGTTGTGTTGTGTTGTGTTGTGTTGTGTTGTGTTGTGTTGTGTTGTGTTGTGTTGTGTTGTGTTGTGTTGTGTTGTGTTGTGTTGTGTTGTGTTGTGTTGTGCTGTGTTGTGTTGTGTCTTGTTGTAAAATAATATGGAAGTACATCAAATATATAATAAGACTTTATCAAACTTATATGAGAAGCTTCAAAAGGTGTCGTCAGGTCACCTTGAGCTAAAAATTTTTGAAGATTGCTGCGTATAAACACTCAGCTTAGGCATAGTTGCTTTTCAGAAAACTATAACGAAATTATATGTTTATATACCTACTACGTGCCACTCCCCATTGGCAGAAGCCATACTCAAATCTCCATGCGAACGGGCAAGGGTCAGGTTCAAGTGATTTCCAGTATAGCTCCAAGAACCAAATTGCAATGGACAATTCTGTTCATCAAATGGGAAATACTTTGCGCTGAAAATGCACGTGGATCTAAGAATGAGTCGAGTGGACCAATGGACTGTACCGCTAGGCCGGACAAATACGCCATCTTCTATGTCGAAATCAAATCCACGGTAATTTTCTTGTGCACTGAATAAAAGTCAAAAGGGAAATGTTCACAACTTGATAAATTTTATTCATATACAAATATATCTGGCAAAATACTTCAATTCTTTTCAATTCTTTAATTAATTTTCAGGCGTCAAGAATTTTTCCACACCACAAGATCTATTTCCACAACTTTAAATCCTTATTACTAGGCAAATGAATAGAATATAATAGAATATAACGAAACAGGCTTTCAGTATGGAAATATCAAGAAAAAATTATAGAACTAAAATTAAGCAAGGGATGTAGTGCTATATAAAAAACCAGAGAGGGGGGGGGGTTGGTCGCGAAAAAATCCCCAAAAACAAAAGCAAAAGTAGAAAACGGCTACTTCATTATTTTTACAAAGGGGTAACCAGTAAATTCAAACTCGTACGAAATTCTAAACACTATTAACGATGTTTTGCTTGCTTCAGAATCTTTCCTTTATTAAGCTACGGTACTGAGAGTAATATGTCACAGATTTTGAAATATACATTGTCTTGCGCAATTTCCTCATACCCAACCAAATTTAGACTTGAAAATAAAAGTATGGAAGATGTCTTACTTGTTATAAAGATAGATGTCTGGAACCCAGATTGTCATGGGGTTCAGTACCAGCCAATCTACCGCAAACTCACTCTCGTTCCATTGAAGTCTAAAATCTTGCCACACCTTGAACAAAATCATACTAAACTTAAGGACAAAACATTTATCAAAGAGTAAATACTATTTTTGTTGAATTTTTTCCTATATTTATTGCTATTTATTTCTAACTGATAGCTGGTCACCTTTCTATCAGTAAGTCGTCCTATTGCCTAAAAAATGGTCGAAATGAAGCATCAAATAGCAAACTTTCAGTAAAATTTCAGTATCTTCGACTTATTTATTGTGCATAGCAAGGTCCTACAATAACAGATATGTGCCTACAACATTTGCAATTGCTGTGCCAGGAGGTCTGGCTTACCCTGGTTTTTCCGCTCAAGCACTCTTTTGAAAAGAAATGACTAGTTTTTGTGTTAATCCATTTCGTTACAGAATTAATTCTATTTGATTTGAGAATTTTGATTACCCTGAATGAATGCGTATTTCTGAAGGTAGGTCTAGGCTTCTTGTAAACGAATTTCAAAAGGTTCCAAGGGAGCTTTTGTAACTGCTTTTACTTTAACCTCTGATCTTAATTCAAGACAGAAATCTAGTCAAATCTAGTCTCTTTGTGGAACAAATTAACAAATGTTTGTGGAACATGCTGAAAAACAGGAACTTGATACGTAGGAGAAAAATCGTATACCTAAATTAAATGGAAGTGTTGTATAAAAAGTTCCACAAACATTTTTAACAAAGTATTCATTAGCAATTGTCAACATGATATTGGTTTGTAAATTCAAAGACCTTTTGCCTCTTTGTAAATTTAAAGACTTTTCGCAATATTGTAAAGAAATGACCACATTTCTTCAATATGAGCTCAATTTCCAGATCTTACTGTCAAAATAGTCCATTTTGGGTGAAATCTTTCTGCCAGTTCTAAAAATTTTCTGTGAACCTTGTTTTCATGTTCCGATACATGTGAAGCTATGTGCATGCATTTCATTTCATTGTGTTAGAGGTTGCATATGACAAACAATTGCTCCAGAATCAAAGGCCTAAATGGCATCACATACCTGTCTTGCCCAAAGATTCCAGGTGACGACTTGGTTTTTCTCATCCTTTGTATAAAAGAAAACAGAAAAACGCCATCAGAATTATTAAATTTATAAAAGCTACAGCCATGTATTCAACTTTAATATTTAAGAATATCTAAATAAAGCTCTGAAGACTAAAAACAAGCATTGATCGGCAAAGCAACTTAATAACTGTGAAAATATTACAGTTGCAGGGTGCTGACTTGCTTAATAGGTACAAATTATATATTAAAGGGTGACGTCACATAAACATATCCTGAGTACAAGAGGCTTCATGACAGAGTGGATCGAAAACAGTGGAAGCTCTTTGAAGTTTTGGTACCCAGGATAATAAAAACGCTATTGTGGGATTTTAGGCGTTAGATTGCTTTACCTTAAAGGTTCCAATAAAATGTCTATGAAACTGCAATCACTTCTTCATTTTACGAATCGGATGATATGAAAAATTTGAAGTTTGCTTACAGATTACTATTATTTAAGCTTGATTCAAAAAATTTCGAACAGAGACTAAACGATTCTCGTTCGGGTTATGTGCTTTTCTTACCTTTAGTATTGAAGAAAAGGATAAAAGTTTGCTGAAATGATAAACTGATACATTATTGATGATTCCGAAAGCCTCCGTAAATCTAAAATACTTACAAAATCCATTACTTGTCTCAGCGATAAATCAAATGAGACTTTGACAGGAGCTGTAGCAGTTGCAGCTGGGCGCATGCTTTTCTTGTAGTTTGCAAATAATTTTTGTACCAGTCTTGACTCATCAGAGGGGTTTGCCTTCGACGTTGCTAGAAACAAAAGCAAATCGTTCTCGTGAAAATAAGAAGCATATATTAAGACACAACTTAGAACCGTTCTGTTCTATACATCACATAGTGTGTAAAGCTCTGCCTATACGGAGCACTCTACAGGGACCGGTAAACAGTAACTTTTATTATTAAGCAGCTTAAGTAGAAACTGCTTTTGTGGAAGATAAACGAAGTTTGTGCCATGTGCTTTGCCATTTACATCTTAGCTTCATTGAAACTTTTTATACATGGTAATGAAGTTTGAATTACATAGGGACATGCCAGATACCAACATTTAAAGAACTTGTAAATACTAGTATGTTATTGAAAATATATATAATTCAATCAACATTAGCTGTTTGTTTGTTCTGCAATAGAATAAACGCAAATTTGGCTCGATTAGGACTTAGTTTTGAATTTTATCTTTATTCAAATCTTGAGGACATAATGCTTTCAGATGCGAAAATTAGCGGGGGGAGGGGGAGAGACACCCGAGGTTGGTGAGGAGGTTGGTAGCTGTTGTTAATCATTCAGCCAATTGCTCTATTACTTTTTTCCCTCCTTCATGATTTGCATGGGACAACCATTGGTTTAGAAGAGTTCCTTATGCAAAGTGGGAATGAAAACATATTTCTACGAAAGTTTGCTTTCTACCAGTAGAATTATAAATGAACGATAACAACAATAAAAGTCGCCTTAAACGTTATCTTGTCTCGTCAAAATATTTATTTTATCAATATGAGAGAAATTGCGAGTCAACCTCTGGCAAAAATCTCATTGAAAAAACCAGGTGATATTGCAGTGTCTGGACATCATTTTGGTGTGTTAGTTTAGCGACGAATTTTCTGCCATGGGAAGGGAATGCTTTCAATTTCAAGCGACGAAAACCAATGAAAACATCTTTAAAATTCGGTCGTATTTAGAAATGAAAACAAAAACATTCCCACTCCAAAAGTCTGCGTGTTTTTATTTGAGGCCTTAAAAGCCAGCTTTGTTTCATTGTTTTGAACTTTTTCCGGCGTTCCCAGTCTTTCAGTCATAAACAATTGTAGAACAAGCAGTATTGCTGAAAAACATACTACTACGGCTAATCTGGAAAGTATCCTATCACATTTTAAGTTAGTTTATATTGGGCTTCGTTTGAAACTTAGCGAAAACTTGACCGTTTTATTTTACTCGTAGTTCTAAATTTGTTCGTCTTGTAGAAGATAGCCATCCCGAAGGGAAATCAGCTAGGGGTGGGGGGTATTGATGGGCTTTTTTATATAATGAGAAATAAAATAAATTCTTGTTCTAAAACAATGAAAGGTCACTGAGGCTTAAGGTTGTAGCAGATGCTAAACATTTAAGGGGGGCTTAGTATGAATCTTGTCCGAATGCTTCGTTGAGATAAAATTGCCCGAATGGAACCTGACATACGATGGATGCCTGAACATGGGGGCTATAGCCCTCAAATTCCCAATGTCTTCTTCGCCGATCCTGGGGCTGCATGAGCAATGGCCCTCTATTAACTATGATAAAAATACTCTGTCAAATCAAGGCAACACTATTACGTTGTATGTTGAATAAATGAGCGAACAGACGGTCCTAGCTAAGCAAAAAGAAGATTCCGTTTATCAAAAACGAGGGGAGGGGGTGTAAGTTTTCGTTGCATCTACCTGGTGCAAAATCTAGGCATGAGTAATAAAGTAAGTTATTGAAAAGTTCGCTAACTTTAGACACAGTAAATGTACAATGATATCAAACTTCTTCTTGAATGGGTAATGGGTATAGAATAATAATATTTCTACTTTTTTCACAAATAATGAGGTATGAAATATATAAAATAAAGAAAAAGAAATGAATCATGAATTCGAAAAAATATGGATTTGTATAACGATGTTTAGACTTGAAAAAGAAAAATTAAGTGGTACAAAGTAGAGACCTGGTAGTAGCTACCTGCCAGGGATTATACCAAATTGTCTTTCTTTTGTTGATAATTAAAGACAACGATGCAAAGAAATATAAGGAAAATTACTGAAGTAATTGATAGCGAATTCAATGTTTGCAAATATCGAGTTATGCTAACTACCTGTTGCACTGGAAAGGCTGCGATGCTATACAAGCTTAAATAATAGTTAGGCCAGTATACGATTGCATGTTAGTGGCATGTTAAAGAGGACTCTTATCCTGGGCCAACAGAAGTGTGACGTATAAGACTGGAGAGAAGGTCAAGAGCGTACCCAAGCTCGTAACGATCACACAAATTTAGCGCACTTGCCCTGGACCGATTCTGTGCCAGGACTATTTTTGCGTCTTCGACAAGAACACTTAACGTTAGTGGTTAAGTCTGAATAGATACAGGGCATTAAATACTATCGCTATGTTTCACTAGATTAACTTTTGTTTATAAACTCACGAATTTATCATGCAGCTGAGCTGCTTGACATTCACTTCATTCAATTTCAAATTTATTCAGATGAACTATGAAGCGCACTTTCCCCCTGCACAAGAAAATCCGACCACTTTCCGTACCGCACTTTCGACATTGCTAGGCACCTTAGATCTTGTCGAATCACCGAGAGTAACGCAGAGAGGCCGGTTCTTTTCTTCGCTACCCTTGCCAATGGGTACTAATTTGCAGTGAACGGTTGTATAGACTTCGCTCGTGCTCTAACAAGTCTGCCCAGTTACCTAATGTTTATCAGATTTCTAATTACTAAAACCACAAGTTGTCATAAGTTTTGAAAGACAAGATAAATTCACAGATAAATTCAAGTTAAAGTCAAGATAAATGCTTTAAAATCAGCTTAGGTTAGAAGAAGATGAAGTCTAAGCAGGCCGTCAGAGAAGTATGATCTGATGCAAAACAGAAGAAGGAGAACAGATTAAAAGAGGAAAATAAGTTACTCACCCAAATAGAAATTGGCAGCAAAGTAAATAAGTCCTTTAAGAAGGAGACAGAGGAGCATTTCCGTCAATCGGCGTCACAATCCTTTTGTATTTACATTGAATCTTTATTTCTCACTTCGCGAACGGGTTTTAGAACCATCGATGAACGCAGGCTGTTTAATATACGGCAATTTAAAACTTTTAATCTGACAGAAAGCCGACCAACACTGTTGCTTAGCAACTTTATCAGAATGTTCTGGCCTTTGTTACAAGGTTACATGTAATTAAACATCTCTGGTTGGTCATTATCCCGGGGAGGCGTTGCTCAATGCATAACACCTTTAAAAGCCAGGCTTATTGTTTGGAATTGTAGAGGTATTTGTAAAACCAAATCAAATCGAGGCGTCAAGAGACGCCTCAGTGAAGTATCGTGGTTGGCGGGTCCACTTTATTCAAGCACATTCAATGTGATGCAGACAACGTTTTAGAGCAAATTCATTGCACTGAAACAACAATAAACCCACCGATTATCTTTTTATGCATTTCTTCGGCTTTTCTTTAAATCAGTAAGAATAATTACAGGCGATAAAGGCCATTTCTAACTTATAGATTACAGCACTTGATTATTATAAAGAATATTTACAGTGATCAAAACCGGATGAAAATGAAAGTAATCTGCATAAGAAACGATTTACAGTGCAGTATTATGCAAATACTATACTGGTTGTAAGGCTAAAACTAATATATGTAAAGCCTGTAAACAACCATAGACAATTTCAATGTCAGACATTCTGGCTTTCCTTCTCTATTCAATGCCATGCTTTTAATGTCCTACGAAGTCATACCAAAGCTTGCTACCCAGCCAGTTTGTCAGTTCCTCTGTGAATGATTGAATAACTCCTGCCGCCAATAACATAGGGTGATTTCACCTACGTAAATCTTTTAATCGGTCTATACACCCATTGAAAACTGTTCTGTTTTGATATACCTTCGACACTGTTATTCTTTGTAATAGATCGCATGGTATTGTTTGTATTCTGCTTATGGGAAAGTATATGTAAACACTCTAAAAGTGCGCAAAAGTTATGTAAAATCAGAAATGTGCAATGAAAAGAAATACTTCTTTTCACAATTGTGCGTTCATGTCAATCTTCTTTCTTATCTAAAGAGTGATCCATAACTCACTAGCTCCATGCTTCTCGCTCTTTGCTTCCCTTAGGCTTCACTGTTTTCAGGATACCCCTTAAACAAGCCTGAAGAGGATACTTCACAGAGGAGAAAGAAAGACAGTTAGCCTTCTTGCTCTCCCCTCCGTAAACTCTGCACGCAGGGCACCTCGAGTCTCATTGATCCTTATGAAAAAGTCATATTCAAAAACCCAATTTATTTTTATGCAAAGCTTTTATGTACATCTATTTACATTATAACATTTCTTAACATCAACAAAGGAACTTTTAACAATGGCTTTAAAACAAGCAACGTATTGGAGAATGCTGCGTAATGATATGGTTATCTAAAGAAGAGCATTTCCATCAAGTCTTCATCAGCACGTTATTGAAAATGGTCGCCTAATAGAGCCACGAGGCTTCACAGCTAAGACCATTAATTTCGGAATTTGGTGAATTGATCTGATGCTTGTATTACTGGAAATGACCGATTCTTGAAAAGGTTTTGGCTATAGCAGACTGTCTCCAGACTTGTAGATGTAGTTCAGGATTAGAGAACACATTCAGGATCATCGCAGCAGATGGTTGCCAAGAGGAAAATAAACGAATGTGCTTCGAGGATGATGGGGTCTGAGTTTCTAAACCAAACTATTCTTTTAACATGAATTGAAGAAAACCGAGGCACAAAATGATCTGCAAGGCTCCAATCAGAACCATCCAATGACAATAGAAGACTTCGATCTGATATCTCTAATGACGTGAACTGCATTCGATGTCTTTTAGAATTGTAGCTCCCGTTAACCCATTCCCTAACACAGTATCAACTATGAATTTGACCAACAACGGTGCATTGAAAGCAAACCTTTTCTTGGGAATACCAAAAAGGTAACATTCTTCTCGCTTGCATTGTGGCGCAGTTTTTCATCATAGGTTATGTAGCTCACAAACCTGAACCCTCTTCCATGCACATTTTCAGCTTTCAACCTTTTGCGCAGTGTACTGTGAGAAAGAAACAAATAGTTCCAATAAGTAAAGGGCACATTTACACGAGAAACGTCAACCCGGGTTGATTTTCAGCCCTAGCATTATTAAATCTTTGTTTGTGGTTAAAGCATTACCCTGGTGTTTCAGCCAATACAAATCCTTCTAGAAAAATTGCTATTACAGCAGACATTCATCATAAAGAAGCCACAGCTACTTAATTTTTTAACCCAATTCATAGTAATACACAAGGAGAGCATTAAAATTTGAATATATCATAACATTAGGACTGCGAGTACAATGTTAGTTTTCGCAGAAGATCAAGACAAGATGCTATCAAAGAGTTTGGCAAAACACGCGTCATAAAGATGCATTAGTTGGAATCTGTTTTGATTTGCGGTCCGTTTAACGGAGTATATTGCAAAAAGCGATTTGTAGAATTACCAGACTACGAGAATACTTAGTTTGTATGTCTTTATTTATCATTTCGCTTAAATCAATCCATGTATTTATTGCGAAATCGGAGTACAAATGTCAGCCGCTGACAGTGGTTTGAATAGAAGAAGGCAACTTTGGTCATACAAACAAACTTTCGCAAATAATCCTCTTAAAAAGCATTGCGCCAAGGATGAATTTTAGAATGAATTCTAGCCCATCTATTTGCAAAATTCCTGATAATGGTTTACCGAAATGCTTTAAAAAATATTTTCGCACGACTTACACAGAAACCTCGACACATCGTCTTTTTTGTCTGCAGTTTTCAGAATGCCAGTAATCGATTCGTTCTTCACGATTGGCAGGAAGATATCAATGAACTCTCTCGAATAGGGAGGCGCAATCATTTCAAGAACCTAAAAATTTAACAATAAACGTTGAAGATAATCGGATTAGCTCGTAGAACAGTAAACATTAAAACATATGCAAGGTTAAACATAACGCTTATATAGAAAATTCTAACAAATTAACAGACAGAAACACAGGAAAAAGGACCATTTCCTGTTGGTCAGTTTGAGCATGGAACTTGGAGACGTAATTTAGAGCCATCCTGTTTCTCGTACAAGGCAAAAATGAAACAAAAGAATATATAACATACTCAATCTATCATATCGATCGGTGTTTTACAGAGGTAATTATGAATTGACTTCGAGAGTAGAACCAGACAATTTCAAAAAAATATTTTAACTTGAGTTATAAACGATGTACACACAGAGCTTTGCCAGAACTCAGTAAAAAGTTGAAACGGTAACCAATGAATTAATGCCGAAAGGTATTAGACATAAAAATGCCGAGCGGAATAATCTAAAATGCAACTCATCTTTGTGCAAATTCAACAAAATGTTTTTAAGAAAGTTTTAACAAAATGGTCAAAAAAAGTCATAAACAGATTCAAATTGCTGCTGGAGAAGAATTCAATTGAGCCTATGACTTGTAAATATTGCTAAGTTTGTGCAGCTTTCATATTAGAAATTGTTAGGATAAAAAACAGCTTTTACGTTGTACATGAGGAATATAAAAAAGGATGCGAACATACCTCTATTACAAAATGCCTAATCAACGAGATATCAGTAATTTGGCTATCCATGCAGTTTCTTATGAACTGAACAACGGGGATGACGTAACCACGACTGAGCATGTGAACAAGACGATCCAAAATTGTCTTTTTAAATTCTAGCTGTAAACATAAGACAAAAATGCAATTTAAACAGAGGTTTTAAAACCTATTAAAGACACTTAAAATAGTAAGAAATGTTAGTAGCAATTTTAAATTCATAATGACGCAAAAATTCACAACTTGCACAGTTTAAATTATTAAAAACCTTTTCTTAAAGCGGAAGTTGTCTGACAAAAAATAAATATCTTGAGCCATATATGATTGTAACACTCAAAATATGTGGCCAGTGCGTTGAACATTTTAAACTTTTATTTAAAGCTCAAGCTATCGAAAGAGGATTGCCATTGAAGCTTTGCAACTGCTAATGTTCCAGGATTGAGCTGGGTAAAGGTTAAAACGAGTTCCGTAAATGATCTGTGCTTTCAATGTTGTGGAAAGGTCGTTAGGTAGAGCACTTATCCGGGAGAACAGCATGGTGTTGTGAGTGACGAGAAACGATTGGTAAATGAAAACAGCATTCTACATGCTATAGTTTCTGTCTAAGGAAAGTACCATTGCTGCGATGCATAGGGCTGTTTTTGGATCTCCATTTAGATGAGCAAGTAAGAACTGCGACGTTACATCCAACCCCACACATTCGCCAGTTGTAACGCATATCTTACGGCAACTTTAAACGATTTTAGATGCGATGAAGCATGGCCCTGTAATCCAAGCCAGACTCAGAGAGAGTCTACCAATCAACTGTGCTCAAACTACGAACTACAAAGCATTATTCAACATACTGAAGGGTTGCTATTTTTGCGGATGTCAAATATGCGTGATCAAATGTACCCAAAAACTTCTATTTTACTTTCCTCTCCCGATTAGGTACTTGTTAATTTATTCAAAATGCTTAAAACTTATTTGGGTACAAAACGATGTATAATTACCTCAACTAGAGTTTCCAGCCCTGGATAACTCGCAGAAAATAGTTTAATCAACAATTTCAGAACAAGCGGATGCTGTATAGGATGACAAGTGCTAACCTGGGAAATAAAATCCAATATTAAGAGGGGTCTGTCTTTGTAGTACAGGAAGAAATGTATACCAAGAAAGTGGTAGAATGTATTGTAAAACTGGTCTGTAAATATTGTAAAAGCAATCACAAGCAGGCCTGATTTTCATCATATTTCTTATTTAATAAACGATATCTGATAAAATTGAGGACATTTAAGAGTCAAAGGCAAGATATATTCAACATATCTTGATTAATAAAGTAAACATGTAATCATGTAATCTAGTTTCTTTGCTACCTACTATGTACAAAAAATTCAAGAGATAACACTTAGTTTTGTTAAAGTCAAAAGGCAATTTAGATAGGCCACCAGTTGATTTCGTATGTCTTGGCTAAACAAATTGAAAACATCGAAATACAAAGATATATTTTTGTGTCTAAGAAGCGAAATAACAGATGAAAAGCACGAAGAGTCTTTCATTTCAAAGATACTGATAGTGAAACAGATCATCGCGTTCATACCTCATCAAGGAGGACCAAATGAATCGGGGTCGAATCAGTCATAACCTTTAGATAATTATTCCCTGAAAGGCATTCTTCGACCCATCGTAGGATTCCCATGGCAACTACGGGATACCTAAACAAAAAGTGTAATAGGAAGATAAATGAAAAAGTAGTTAATGTTTTTATTAATGTTTTTATTTTGTAGATACTTATATTTACAAAAGTAATGTTTTTAAATCTTTGGTTATCAAGGGATCTTAAACAAAAACAATGTCTATTGAAGTAGTTTTAAAAAAGTTGTTACGTAACAAGCAAGTGATATTTTTAAAAGAAAGTTATTCTAAATTGCTTTCTAAGGAGAGACCTATAAGCCTTTAGCACAGCCCTAAGAGCAGAAAAAAGGGAGAGGCTGAGAGTAGAGGGATAACACTTAGTTTTATTAAAGTCAAAAGGCAATTTAGATAGGCGACCAGTTCATGTGACATCCTATCAAGGCCATCCTAGAGTCAAGGTTCTTCGACACTAAAAAGCACAATTTCGCTGTTGTAACTGAACCATTTATTTGCACCTTTTACAATTAAGATCATTCTATTTTTTTGAATGATAAGCAACATGTTGGCACTAAGTCAATTTGTAGTGGCACAGCATATTTTCCCCTCTTAAAGTCTCTTCCGTCGGTCACAGTCAGTTGATAATGTATCTTCTGAAACTCTTCTGATTCTGTGCAAAATTGGATCAAGCTTTAATTCATAACGCTATGCCCAGAAAACTCTTCTTAACTGATGAATATCACCAGTTTAATCATGTTTGATCCCATTAGCAGTGACTTTCTAGCAATTAACTAAGTAAGAAGTAAATGGATTCATTTCTCAGTTTTATAAGCCCCGAAATCACTTCTCGAATGTTACCATTCTTTAGCTCCCGACAATTGAGCAACTAACAGCCCCTCCCTCGTCACCTCTTTCCCCAATCAAGTAGCCATCGTACCTTATACACTGGTATAGCATGCCGACTTCAGAAGATAGCTGCAGCGTCCCCCCGATTTCACGGCTGCAAACAGAATGAACTCTGTCAATGGCCTGCACAGTGCCTTTTAGCTCGTCTTTGGAAACTGACAAACGGACACCGTTCTTCCAGTTCTCGTATACTGCTGCACTATAGCCAAGTATATACGTGTATTTGGACTTGTGTTCGGGGTTTATGTGTGATCCTGGCTTGAAGAGACTGTCAACTAGCAGACCTATAATGCAATTACTGAAGTGAGTTTGAATCAGAAACTGATGTCAAAAACAGATAGGTCAAATATATTAACGAAGAGGCCAGCGATTCCCGTGGTGTATCGTTATCAATAACAAGGCTCCTGCTTCTTGTGTTTATTATATTGTGTTCCTGCTTCTTGTGTTTAATCATTCATGTATGTGTTTAATGTATAACAACAATGATTAAGATTTCCGTACTTAATTATGCGAGCCTACCTAGAAATGTTGGAACTCTTATCAGCTCTACAGAAGGTGCATCTTGACTCGAATATGCTTTGTAGAGCTGAAACAAAATTTAATATACACTCATTTTTTCATAAAAAACTGACTATAAGAAACGAGTACTGGACAGGCAGACAATATTAAGAAACTTCAATACTCGAAGCAAAAAAATTTGGAAAATAATAAATCGTGATGAAACTGAGAACAACGAAATTTTTATAAAATCCAAGAACACGATTGCCCTGTTGGCCTCGAACTTAAGACACAAGAGATAAAAATAAACATCCCACATCTAAATAGAGCATAAAAAAGGTCACGAACATTTCATGACATCATTCATGACATCATGATCAAGTAACACTTAAGAAACAATGAGTATTGAAATTTCCATAACATTGAGAAACTGGAGTACTCGACATTGACCTTTGTTTCTTATAAAAAATGAGTGTAATGTACAAAAATTGCAACAGAAAAAGGAGTATTAAAAGAAGGTTGATGAAACTTCAACCAGACAAACAAAAACTCAAGAGTCTACATTGTGTAAAAAAAAGGGAAAACAACATGGCGAGAAGAAGACTTAATTTCTTACTGGAGGTCGCCCTTACTGAGATACAAGGAAACAGTGGGCTTTCACTAATTTGCTTGATTCTCCCTTGTGTCACAAGATATGACACTTCGAGGCATATCCGGTCAAGAGAGGAGCACAGAAAAAAATGAATACAGTAAAATGAAAAAGTGAAAGTTTAATTAATATGATATGATGTGATGCATAAGTGAGCAGACAAACTGAGCAGATGATGAATAACAAATAGTCTACAATCTTCAAGATATAGGCAATACCTCTATTATGTTTTTCACTATTATGCTTCAGCTTACAGTTGTAATCCTCTTTTAAAGTCTAAGCAGGTCAAAAAACCATTAACTCTCAGGAACAACAGGGGAGTCACAACTCTCTCAACAGTATTTTGCACACTGAAAGGTGTGCTCATCAACCAATAATGAACAATTTGGGGACAACTTACTACTCTATAATTATCATGTGTCTTTTCCCTACTTATATTTTTCAAATCATACCGTTGTAATGTCACCGGGATTTAACTGCTTTCTGGACAGCATCGAGATGAGCGATGCAGCAACTGCAGGATACACAGAGCCACCATTTAAAGACATAGTGATGTTCCAAACGTCACGTCCACTGAAAAGGAACAAGTCTATATAAAATTGCAATCTAGACGTGAAAAATCGAGCAGTGGTACCCATAATAGCAAACAGGTCTTTTAAGGCTTGGGTTTGGAAAGCTAGGCATCTGATAGCTATTACAAAGTGTTCCTGTAACAAAGCATTTCTTCGCAGATCTTTCTCTTTGATATGTTAGGCAATCTCATCATGGTGCATAAAGACACCCTAATACGCCTTGACGGGTTTGCGGAATTCCTATTGACAGCTAAAGACATATTGCGAAACAGTTGAAGTTTCGGCAAACCTACTAGCAACTAAATACTATCTAGAGTCTCTTTCGTCAAATTCACGAACTCTATCCCACAACTTAACCTTCCTCCCCGGTTCTATTAAAGCAATGGACATTTTTGCGAGTACAGACAAACGACGAAAAGACTTTTAAAGACAACACACAGATACTAAAGCGGCTTATCCTATCTACCATAAACTATTAGCCAATCAAGAAGCACCTGGACGGTATCACATCTGTTGATTGGTCAACTTTTGATTGACGGGTGGCTGAAGCCACTTTAGTAACTGTCGATTGCATTTAATGACTCACTAGCAAATGATGGCCTAAGGTAGTTTTGATGAAGATTTTTCAATTTTGCATTAATTACGAGTTTTTCTGAAACCTATTTACATGGCAATAGATATTGTCATCATAACACCTCAGTAGTTAAACTTTTCCATATAGGTTGACTGGAAAGCTTTTTTTGGCTATCAACTGAAGGCAGCTGACTAAAAATTGAACACTGTAAGCCTGCCATTCAAATCTACTTTGAGAAAGAAGGGGGTTGTCAAATAAAATTGGTGAAAATCGAGTGTGCCAAGACGTTTTGAATGCGTATTATGTTGTTAACGGCTTTTTGCTTTGAACAAGTTAGATATGTTCTCTACATCACAACTGGTTGCTGAAACAATGGAGAGGTTGTAGCACATCGTTTTATTTGTATTAAAATTTTGTCGATAGCAACGTGACTTTGAACAAACCTTTGGACAGCAGCCTCCTGTAACTCTTGGCTCAATCTCTTTAGACACGTTCCATTTTTAGTTGTACGAGACAAATAATTGAGTACATATTGTGTGAACAGATAAGTATGTTTTCCATGACATGCAGCTCTCTAAATGGAAATTTATTAGGCCAAATATCAGAAAATCAGAAATGCATTTTGCTTGATACTGCTGATGTGGGATTTAAAATGATTGATACAGAATAACAACTTTATCAAATTTGAAGGCATATAGCACCAAATTGAAGCTTTAATTTTCTAGCTTTGGCGAAACAAACAGTCAAAAAAAATACAAATAACTCGCTACTGGTTCGAAATATTAGGAAATAAAAATGCTGCTCAGCAGGTGATTTTTAGCAAACGATGCAGTAGAACAGCAAGAAGTATATGCAGAAGAGAAAGGGGAGGCGAGAAAGAAGATGAAGAAAAAAAAGAAAAATAAATTGGAGATGTAGAAAGGGAAAAAGGGATATATATATACAGTGGAACAACAAAAAGCAAATGCTGAGAAAGAAGGGAACCAAAAAGAGAAGCAGAAAAAAAAATGAAAAAGTTAAGAAAAAAGAAGAAGAGAATAGAAAAAACAGAAGATATGGAAGAAGAATATCAAATAATATAAAATTTAAACTTACAGCAATTTCATTGACAGAATTGTCATTATCGCTCCTCCCGTTTATGTAATTCATCACCAAAGTCTTTAAAACTCTTGCAAAAACATCAATTTGGTTGCAGGCTGATGACATGCTACCAATTTCTGTTTGATATCCAGCATCAGATATTAGCTACAAAAATCACAACAAGGTCTGATACTCAATTTGAACTTTCTACAATTAAAGGAAACCTAAAGCAAAAGGAAAGAACTTGAATAAAAAAAATAGTTTTTTGGAAATCATAAAAAATTCAAAATTAATGCAATATTGACAGAAGTCCTTAAACAGATACCCTTTTGATATATAATTATAATTGGTTACTATCTTTGAATGCATGTTTTTAATAAAAATTCTATAGCCATTTACTACACAGTGCAGTGATAACTACCACAGCAAATCTGTTAAAGACAGACAGGTAGAAAAGAGCACACTCAAGTATGCAGAGCAGGACCCCATTATTAGCAGAATTAGTACCAAGTGCTGCAGGTGAGTTACCTTATTTAAAGTGTACCATATCAAATACCTGTTTTGCGATTTTTTATCAGAAGTTTGAATCAAAGACAAACGAAAGTGCAAATCATATCATTTAATAATCATCCCTTTTTGATTAAACTTCTTAATTCTAATTTTTGATAATAAAGTTTTGAACATTTTCTCTTTTCATATTGCAATCGATTCCAGTCATTTTCTGGCAAAGAAATTATCCTTGAATCAAGGTTTCCATGTAACACAGTAAGCACCCAGGTTAATCTTTAGCCATCTGTGACTAGTTCAAGATTGATCAGGATGCCTAATTTTGTAAGGAATGAAAAGGCCATGGTGCCAAAACTGTTTGATAGACTCCAAAGAATGCTTGTGACAAAGTGGATGAATCATAAGAATAAGGAACACCACAATGCACCAAAAAACAACCAATATTACAAGTAAATTATAAATAATATGCTGATATTTTGCCCTTGTATGCAGAGTTTCCTCAGAGTAACCCAGTTTATCCCTAATATTGCCTGGCAAAACACACAGAGCATGCCCCTTGACAAATTAGAAAAAAAGCACCTGCAAGTATGAACAAAATTTCTGAGAAATTTGGACAAACACCAAGATAAATTGCTTACCTTTATTGAAAAATTTAGTAGAAGGCAGTCAGGATTCTTTTCTGCAAGCTCATAGAATAACTTTCTCCAAGGTGGATGTGCAATCATTCCTTCAATCCAGTCAGGAGTCTAAGCAAGAAAGTTATTCAAAAACAACATTGCAATATCAAACAGACATTGTAATTTTCTTGAAACAAAATAAACAGTAATTAAACATTAATAAAACTAAATAAATCTAAAGGCATCCTTTCTTTGAAAAATACTCAAGAAAATCAAAACCAGGGGTCTAGTACTTGGAAATAAAAAAAGGTGCTCTATAATAAATTATTTGGCAAATCAATAGCAAGAAGTGAAAGATGGTAACCATGGGTTTTGGTTACATAGAAAGGCTTGGCAATTCCCCCCTCAGCTCTAGACATCCAATTAATACTAGAACTACAGGTAAATAGCTCTTGAAACATTATCAGAAAGATATTTGAAAACATAGATAAGGGGGTGTTTCTTTCTAAATCAAAACTCCTTATAAGTTATTAAAGAACAAAACATAAAGCTCTTTGAAACATTATTGTACATAAACATATTTAAAATACAAGTAGAGAAGGGGTGTTTCTATCTATATCTATGCCCCAAAATTAGAAAACAAGAAGAAAAAGGGAAAATGCACCATAAGAGACATCCACTAAAAAACTATGTACATGACACTGTCAAGAAATGTATTATGTAAATGTACAATACAATTACCTGACCAGCAGCAGTAAAAATAGAATCTGCCTTTTTTGGGTCAAAATGCTTGAGAATCATATCTTTTAAATGTTGCTCTACAACATCTTGGACTTCACTTACATCACAACCTGAAAATGTGCAACAATCTTGTCTTAGAAGGGGGAATTGACATATGATAAAATTGATATTAAGTGAAGAGCCTTCAAAAACATACATAGTTTATACCGTCATTTTGAACATTGTTCCATACTTATTACTACATATTTTGTAAACTCCAAACCAAAAAATTTACATATAAAAATATTTTCGAACCCCTTGAGTAAAGATAACGTTTGGGTTAAATCTAGCTAAAAAGCTCATCATTGCCTTGAGAAACCAATTTTCTTCTTTAGAAAATTGTTTCTCAAAAACAAAAATTTATATGTGCTTTTAAATCGTTTACAAAATTTATATATTCTCATCACCCTCAAACCAACTATTATTAAACACAAATGAACAAACAAATTCGGGCTTAATTCATTTATGAGAAAGTAAAAACAGAACTGCTTCTATTTATTTTTGTGAAAAGGTTTCAGTTGCTACCAAGGAAGGAAAATTCATATTAAACTTGGACATAATCAGTGACTCAATTGACTTGCCTGCAACAATCAGCCAGTCAGCCAAAAGGTTTGCTGCTTGTGCAGTTCCAGTGTAGTTATCTGCCAATAACTGAACAAATTCCTCTGGTAGCCCTGATGACTCAAGAAATCTGAAAGATAAAGCAAAATAAACACATACAGTCTAGTCCCAATATCTTGAACATGCATGGGAAATGCAAACTTGTTTGACATAGCAGGACTTCAAGATATCCGGACTCAGGATTTTTTTTATCAACAAGGGGTTGTATTAAAAAGTATAATATGAACCAAGGAAAACAGCTCATTCATTACCAAAGCTTTCCTTAACATCAAACTGAACTAAAATAAACTATTAATGAAATCTGCTTTAAATTTTGGAATACTTCTTTTTTCTGGTGTCAGAGTAGCAGTAACAGAAGAAATACCCATTTTAAACATACAGGCTTCGCACAGCCATGGGGCCAGCAGGGTCTATAGCCCCCCCCCCACTTTTTTGCAATAACAGGCCAGAAAATTTTTTAGAAGGTTAACTCAAACACAATTTTAGATAGTTTACTGCTATGTAGTAGCCATTATTCTTGACAGGGAACCTTTCATGTTCATTTTCTAGGTGTTTTATCTGTTATTGATATCTTCTCTGAACTAAATTGTTTATAAAAATTCAGTAGATATAACAAGTATTTTCTAAAAGAGGCGTTTCTGGCATTCTAGAGGGCAAGGCCTCAAAACTTTTTGGGAGCATTCATTTCAGCCCCTCCACTTTTAGACTGAAATTTTTCTTTGAGATCTTTACGAACTCTTCTTTGCGAACAGTTCAACATAAGTGAGTTTGAGATAATGAGTTTTATTTCTTTACCAAGCCCTATAGGAAAAAGAGAGAAAATAGAAATCTGTTTGAGATAGAGATGGAGTTTTTTTAGATAACGGAATTCAAGATAACAGGATTCAACTGCATGTTGATGTCAGCTTTCCACAAAGTCAAATTAATACATGCTCAAACCAGAGGTGGCCGCTAATTGCAAATATTAATTTGACCTATGTGCCTTGTCAGACAGTGGTCACCAGTAGAAATCATTTTTACATAAAACTCATAACTTTGAATGAATTATTGTACATGTATTGATGAATTTAAAGTAGATTCTTCAAAAAGTTGTTTATCCGTTTTAGGCAGGAACAAACCAAAACAATGACAATAATCTAATACATTTGAAAATCAAATTCTGAAATAAATTAAATGTAAAACTAATATATATTTCGCCTGAGCTTTCATAATGTTTCATAAGGGATTCATCTGAGTAAATAAACAACTGAAGTACCCTGTAAATCAGACTGACATGTTTGTCACACAAGGTTGTGTGAAAAGAAGAGAAAAGGAGGCAGAACAACGGCAGAGGAAAAAAAGGTAGAAAATCATGAAATACTGTAGGAGGGATAGGACAGGTGGGAGAAAAGCAACTTTGCAAACATACTATATTTGAAAAACCGCACAGGGAATAATATTGAATTGCTTTTAATATCTTATCCTTAATCACAAGAGCAAGGCTTGGCTCAACAAGTTTCCTTTTCCCAGGAAGTCTCTAATCAACTTTAAAAACCAAATATTAAATACTTATATACATATACAAAAAAAAATGATTTACTTTCTAACATATTCATGAACAACTGGTTCCATAATACAATCTTTTGCACTGAATACATTTTTGCATTCTTGCAACACATTTTGCTGATCTTCATAAGTGAAATCTTCATTTGATTGCTGAAATTAATAACAGCATTATCAATAGTAAGAAAAAAATTGACACCTAGCAATACCAACTGACGTATAATATTGTCAGTACTCATAAGAGTTTTTAAAAAAACTGGTCTAACCCTTTTAATGAAATTTTGAATTAAAAGCTTTATGTCAGATGTGGAACTTGCTTTTATAATAAAATAAGGAATTTTTAAAACAGGGAGATCTTGAAACCAAAACCAACTAAATTCGACTTTATTGTTACTGCTTATATCTTCTGAAAACTTTGGCCTATTGATCTGATATATTAGGGGGCTTTATCCTGACAATGAATGATACTCTATATAACCAAGTATATAAACAAATGAGAACATAAGAGAATGAATGGCAATTTTTGTCTTTTATAAACTAGCTGACATCAAACAACTTAACCGGAAATAAACATAAACATAAGCACAGAAAATTATATGTATACCTAGAAATTTGTTGACAAACAAAAATACAACACAAAAAAAGAGCAGGCAGGGTCTAGTAAGTGGTTTTTTGCAGACTTCTCCATATCTAAAGAAAAAAAAATTAGTATGAACTAGAAGATAACAGATTTCTTAGTTACCTCAAGTTTGTTGTAAACTGATAGCAGTCAATAAAACCCTAACATTAAAGAAACAATTTAGAACAGCGGACTGTGGCAAGTTTTCCCGCCTAATTTATCCTGCCTTTAAGAATGGCAAAATAATTCTTTACCGCCCTTAATATACAAAAAATAGCAATGAGATATATAAAGACGGCACAGTTTGTTATAATGTGCAAAACAGGTAGCATAACCTACCAAATAATCATCTTCCCAACTGCCTTCAGGAGACGACATTGACGCCATCTTGCAACTTCACCTTTGAAGCCTCGATCACCCAGCTCTACCTCGCTCTGGGGCATGCACTAATAAAAGCAAAATGCACAAGACGGTTTGGCACAGTAGAAGTAAAAGGTAACAACAAACCAACAGTCACCACTGACACATTTCAAACTGGAACAAGTCTTAAACCTCTATACTTTCCATCCATCATTCCATGCATAGCGCTTCAAGAGGAAGGCTAAACATAAATCCTCATTTAAAGGGGCAAAAGCCAATGCAATTTAACGAAAAATAGTAATAATGGTAATAATAATCAAAACACGTATAAAGACCAGCAAAAAAAGGATGGCTTGATAAGATCTTCTTTGCAACAGTAGCAATCTATATAGGTGTTAGAGTTTGAATGAAAAGCGCCACTGAATACCGAGCAGCTTTTCTAGAAGTAAACAATCACACGAGCATTGCTGTTTAGAATACGCTAAACAATCTGACTAATCTATGAGCAGGCAAGCCCATTTCCACAATCTTTTTATAAGAACAATCTCGTGAGAGCACGAGCCTTAAAACGGGTCAAAAATCACAAAATAAGTTAAGAATTAGCTCTATTGTTTAGAATAATCTGAGGCTTGGCTACTGTCAAATTATTTTGAAAAACTTTTGTGTTTGAAATACACTTTCAATCATTGGAAAGACCTGTCAAGTATCGTTATAAGTAATGTTGTTCCTAAGAACGTTGTAACCTATTTTTTTATAAAGAACAACCATTTACAAACTAATAAAAACCAATACCTGCATTTTAAACATCCAATGTTTTTTTCTGATAAAAAAATGTCTCATTTTTGGTAAAATATTGTCTTTTTCCAGCTAAAATACTATCAAAATTTCTAAACTAAACAATTTCTGCCTCAAAAATTAGGGGAAATTAGGAACAGCCAACCTGAGCCTCAATTTGCTTAACCTTAATCTTGGCTTGATGACTCAGTAAACCAGAAACAATATCCCTTTCCAATAGACCTCCGTTATTTAGCAAAGCTGCAGTGCTATCTGTCCGCCTAACCCCATCCTTGTTCATACTCAAGACTCAGCCGCCCCCCCCCTCCACCATGTCTAATAAAGCTAATGTTTACAAACATAGAAAGAACAAATCTCAAAAAACACCTTTTATGCCACGGCCTGTAACCAAAATACTAGATTTTTGTACTCTGCACTAGTTAGCATTCATTGTGCTTCAAAAATTCAAAGTTTCTCTCTTACTAAAGGTAAGTGTATACTAGTGGGCTTATAGAGCGTGAAACGCCTAGAAAACGTCATGAAATCATCATCATCTTCATATTATTTTAACTGAATGTCAAATACAAGCTGATGTCCTTATCAACCTCGTGTTTTTCTCTTATTTTCGAGGTAAGCTTCTTCTTTCTGAAACCTTCATTGTAGCTAGGGGTTTCATCCTTTAATGCAATATGTTCTAGCGCAAAAAATTGAGATTTCTTCTGAAACTCGTAATGGTTTAACGATTAGTACGAGATTTTTAGAAGTAAAACGCTATCTGAGTTATCAGATATTGGGTTTGCTTTTGACACTGAGTTGGCAACTTATCTCATTTTGACACCTCCATTTCTTGTTCCTGCGCAGTTGCTTTCGGCTTTGTAACAAAGCTGGCTTTAACATACAACTTTTGCAATGGCAAATAATTTTTTGTGACATTTTCTTGCAATAGTTTGGGTGACAGGGTATCAGCATTCCTGTCACGTAACAGCAAAGAAAAAACGCAGAATTCACTCATAAAGTAAAATTCTCCCCATATCCCTAATTTCCCACGCATTTATGGTTTCATTTCGCATCGAACTCTCGAATTTCGAGCGTCGAATTTCGAACCTTCGAACATAGTGTATTTCAACATTTCAATGTCTTCATAGTGTAGTGGAATTAGATATAAAAACGGTCTAAGCCGGATAAAAATAATATAAAGCTGTGATTTGGCACAGATGTTCTATACTAAGTTGGAAATGACCAGAAAAAAGCCCCATCAATTGGACATTGGGAATTCCTTATTTGGGCAAATACCATAATGGCGCACTGATCAGTAGTGGTTCAAAATTTAAATGTTGCTAAAACCACATAGTATGTACATCTTTTGAAAGATAATTTTATGCTGAATATAGGACAAAGTGGGACGAGTGAATATAGAAAAGCGCGGGAAAAAATGGCTGATCCTCTTGCTGAATATTTTCATTTTATATCGCAAATTCTATCGATGCAAAATCATTAAGTGTGTGAATAAGATAAAGTATGATAATACCCATTCAGCCCGGGCTGACTTAGACCGGGTCCACTCAGCCCGGGCTGACTTAAACCGGGCCCACTCAGCCCGGGCTGACTTCAGTGAAATTTTTTTACTGCAGCAGCAAATTCCGGTCAAATCTAAAGAAATATCTAAATATTCAAAACAAAGTGACTCGCGACCGAACGGTCCAAACAACATGATTTTTTCAATTTAAAGATAATTTTTAAAGTAATTTAAAGATAAAGATTTCAATTCTGACAGTTTTTCAACTTTTTTCATTGGCCTCCCTTCATCTTAGTAATTTTTGTTACTAAGACGTAAGAAACACTGCCAAATTCAGTGCAAACTCAAAGTGGCTGCACAAAACTACAGCTTGATGCTGGGCCAGTAATATTCCTTTTATGCCCTTCTTTACCAGAAAAAGAGATAACTTCCAAATTATGTATAATCCCAAAAATTGCAAACTTTTCAGAAGTGCGCACATGAAAAAGAGGGTGTTTTGAGAGTACCTACAATCCTTTACAAAATATATTAAGACCAGTGACAAAATCAGAACAAATTTTTGACAGTAATCTACTAGAATTGTATTTGACCCCCTCCCCTTTCAAGCAATGTTGTTGAATTCTTGTTATTGTATACGGTCTTTGCATACATGATTTGCAACTATTTCACCAAATCTCAACAAACAACATTGCCACGAATACGTCTGTCTGGAGCCTAAGTAAAAATTACGAATGGTTTACCAAATAATTTCGATAGGTTTTCTTTTGGGTAAATACGCCAAACAGACTTTGGCATTATTGCGAAGTGGGAAGGAAAAGCAGTCTCACAATTTTTGTGGACGATTGTAGGATCCAAAACCCGGAAAATATTTATGAAAAACGGAAAACCCGGACTTGGAAATTGGAAAATCCTGAGACAAATATATATACTTCAATGTGGTTCACCGTTTCTCGTGTTCTGCATTAAAAGACCTTCGTACCCGCAGTTATTACCAGCAAGAATATTTGTCTGCAAGGCACAGGGTAGATCCTTGCCTTTTTTCTCCAAAGAAGATGTCATCAGTGTTTGCGGAAGAACAGAATTTTAGGGAAATTTTTCGTAGATTGCGGAAATCTGGCAATTTCTCAACGGAACGAGGGAATTCTACACACTTGCCGGACGCAGATTTTCTCAAAATAATGCACGGATTGCAGAAATTTCAAAATGTTTAGCGGGATTCTTAACCTGCTCCTTGTTAGCCTGCGTGCAGACTCGACTTGAGTCTGCACGCAGGCTACTCCTTGTTGGATAGGATTTCATCATCGCATTTTTTGATCTTGTTAATATATAAGTTGTTCACAAATAAACTTATATACATTCAGAGGTGGCGCCAGGAATCTTCCGATAGAGGGGTTAGAGCTTCCAACAGGGGGGCTAAATTGACTATAATATGCAGTTTTCGTACGTTATTTTGTCAAATTCGCTCCGACAGTAACCTTAAATTTTCTTCCAATAGGAAGGCTAGAGGCTTCCGATGGAGGGACTGTAGAGCCCTAGCCCTCCCCTGGCGCCACCACTGTATACCTTATATTGCCCATTTGCCCCCTATCTGCAATTTTTGACCAGAAAGTACTTATTTCCACATTATAAGGGCGTGTATGTTGAATAAAAGTTGTTTAGCATGAAACTGTCTTTCAGAATATGTAAATATAATGTGGTTTTAGCGACATCAAAATTTGAACCCCTGCTGATCAGTGCGTCATATGGGATTTGCCCAAATAAGGAATTCCCAATGTCCAATTTATGGTGCTTTTTTCTGGTCATTTCCAGTATCGTATGGAACCTATGTGCCAAATTACAGCTTTTTATTATTTTTTTCGGGTAAAATCGTTAATCCACCACACTATCACAATGCAAAGAAAAAAGTCATTTTTAGAAATTGCATATTTTTGTAGTTGCGGGGATTACTGTGAAGCGTGGCATGGCTAACAATTACAAGTAATAGTTTCACTGGCAGGTTAAGTTCCAAAAACTATGCAAAAATCATATTCAGTGTATTAAATAGGTTTTTCGTGTTTTAAAAGCCATGTTTTTTTACTGGAAAATTGAGTAGGCAGATCAGCTGTGTAAATAAAACCTGTCGTTATGAAAATACAAAAGGCTTGATCCTCCGTTAAATGAACAACGCTTTTTAGGTGGTATTAGGTTATAGCAATCAGCTACACATTATATTTATATTTGCATCAAAATCGCACTTCACCTAGGCAGTTGGAGAAAACTTTTATTTCTTTCCATCGCACTTAAATTTATCCTAATCCACTTTTCTTGTCTCATAGATAAGTTTTTATCGCCAACTGAAAGTCCATCTGTTCTCAACAAAATACTCCCATCTGTATTTATCTTGTTCATAATCTTATGGTAAATTCTAACTTGAATATATCAAAATACATTGCAGGTTTCATTTAATTACTGTAACTGTAAGGTTAGTCTCTTCCACTAAAGCCATCCTTTGAAATAATATTAATTGACAAAAATCCGTTTCAACGAAGGAAGTTTTTTCTCGTCGATTAGACTACCTAGAGAGTCCTCCTTTAAAAAGTTCCCCGCATACAGGTTTTCTGTATATTCTCTACCCCCCTCCTCCTTTAAAAAGTTCCCCACATACAGGTTTTCTGTATATTCTCTACCCCCCCCTCCTTCTTTAAAAGGTTCCCCACATACAGGTTTTCTGTATATTCTCTACCCCCCTCCTTCTTTAAAAAGTTCCCAACATACTGGTTTCTGTATATTCTCTACCCCCCTCCTCCTTTAAAAGGTTCCCCACA